TCCTACGTCGCAATCCTCTTCCGTACATCGCAGCCTTGCTTATCCCAGTCATTGCAGCTGGCCTGGTTACGCTCTTCCTAAAAGATGTTACATTAGCAGGCTGCAGTGCAGGAAGCACAACCAGGACGCCAAAGCCTCAATCCCTAAAATCGCTAGACGACTTTCAGATCGTACTCGGCCCTTCTAGCAAGGTCTCAAATGCCACTTTGGAGAGCTTTGTTAGCTCATTATCTAGCTCTGGAGAAGCTATAACAGGGACTCCTGAATCTTACTTCCATGTGGTGGACAGTCTTTCTGAATTTGAAGACTATATCAACCATAACTTCCATAATGTCACCCCGGGTGGATTTTACCTTGGAGATGCATCGTCCAGTCCCACCGTCGCCTGGAAAGGCGACAATGGTGATTTCCCCCTTGCTGCTGTCATACAAAACATGTTCCACCGTCTACTTACCGACATGCCTATCAACCTCCAATTTCAGTATTTTGGCATCCCTTTGCAGCCCAACGCCGGTAAAATTCTCCAGCTTATCGTCTACTTTGGTCTAGCCATGTCGGTCTACCCGGCTCTATTCGCCCTGTATCCGACTGTGGAGCGACTGAGGAATGTCAGAGCACTTCACTTCAGCAACGGTGTCAGGGGCGCGTCCCTTTGGCTTGCATACGTCGGATTTGACTTCAGTATTGTCCTTATCTCCAGCGTTCTCGCCATCATCATCTTCAGAGCCGTATCCGATGTCTGGTATAATCCAGGATACCTTTTTGTTGTCTTCTTCTTATATGGACTTTGCTCCACTTTGCTATCGTACTTAGTCTCCCTGTTCTCAAGATCCCAACTTGCAGCCTTTGCAGTCGCGGCTGGCAGTCAGTGCGTCCTATTCCTCGTATATCTCATCGCCTATATGTGTATTCAGACCTACACGCCCACGGACAAAACGGAGTCTTATATCGACATCGCTCATTTCACGATCGGTCTAATTTCACCTTCCGGAAACCTCCTCCGTGCCCTGTTTGTGTCTCTGAATGTATTCTCCATATTATGCCGGGGAACCGAAGTTGCCTCCTACCCAGGAGAAATCACTCTCTACGGTGGACCCATTCTTTACCTGATTGTTCAGTCTTTCGTTCTCTTCGGATTACTTCTATGGTTCGACGGAGGCTCAGTACTTTCCCTCCTACGTGCCAAATCCAAGCCCAACGACGAGGAAGAAAAATCCACATTAGACAAAGACGTTAATTCTGAAAAGACACAGTCCCCAAGTTCAAACCCAGACAACGGCCTCCGCGTCCTTCATCTCACAAAAACATTCCACAAATTCACCGCGGTAGAGGACATCACCTTCAGCGTCAACAAAGGCGAAGTATTCGCCCTTCTAGGCCCCAACGGCGCTGGCAAAACAACAACCATCTCCCTCATCCGAGGCGACACTCCACCCTCCCGAAACGGAGGCGACATATTCGTCGACAACATCTCCGTCCTACGACACCGTGCTTCCGCCCGATCCCACCTCGGCGTCTGTCCCCAGTTCGACGCAATGGACCAAATGACCGTCCTAGAGCACCTCACCTTCTATGCTCGCATCCGCGGCGTCCCCGATGTCCCCCACAATGTTAATGAAGTCATGCGAGCCGTCGGTCTAACACAGTTCAAGCACCGCATGGCGACTACTCTCTCCGGCGGGAACAAACGCAAGCTGTCGCTCGGTATCGCCTTGATGGGTAACCCTACTGTTCTACTTCTCGATGAGCCGTCATCCGGTATGGACGCCGCGTCTAAGCGAGTCATGTGGAAGACCCTCGCTGCTGTTGCTTCTGGACGTTCGATCGTCCTCACCACTCATTCTATGGAGGAGGCGGATGCCCTTGCTCATCGGGCGGGTATCATGGCGAAACGCATGCTCGCTCTTGGTACCACGAATTCCCTTAGAGCAAACTACGGGAACAGATACCATGTTCATTTGGTACATAGCCTGGCTCCCCACACGAGTGAAGAGGATATGCACCGGATCCGCACTTGGGTTAGTCAGAATTTCCTCGGTGCTGTTATTGAAGAGAAGACGTATCATGGTCAACTACGCTTTACGGTTCCTGCTACTGGGTCGGACTCGACAGAGTATGATTGCTATGACGATGATATTACGCCGCGGTCTGAGCCGGATCTGGACATGATCAAGGGAGAAAATGGGAATAATAGTATCGTCAAGCTCTTTTCGCATCTTGAGGAGAGTAAGGAGGAGCTCGGGATACAGTTTTATTCCGTTAGTCAGACGACGCTGGATCAGGTGTTCTTGACTATTGTTGGTCAGCATGATATTGCGGAGGAGAATTCTGGGCAAACTTCGTCGTCGAAGGAATAGATTTGGGTTATTTCCTTCTTTCATTCTTTCATTCTCCTTTTTCCTTTTGTTAGATTTTGGTTGGTTTATCTTCTCTGTTTATATACAGGTGTATATATTTATTTATTTATTTTCTTTTTTGAGGATTATGGGATATTATTCGGTTTCAAACCGGTGGATATATGTTCATTATGACTTATCCTTACATCTTTATATCCGCTACCATATCATTGATATCATGGCCCATTCCTTGATAGAATATAATAATCATGCTAATAAATATACCGGAAGCTGTAAATGAAAACGTTAGCATGAATACCCCACACGATCAGCGAGATAAACCAGGGGGCAAAAAAGCATACTTCAAATTCTCCCTATCGGTCAGATCTAAGAAAGCCGTGGCATCCAAATCTCTACCTTCCAATCCGCCTTCCATCTGAGACTGCATCTTATCCCTCTTTTGATTCTCCCAGCGAAGCAGAAGACCCAAGATAGAAATAATAACAGCTTCAATCAGATGCGAAACGATCATAGACCAGATGCCAAGCTCGTAGGTGGGTCTGTAGAACTTGTTTAGCACTGAGTATCGTAGCGGTCCTACAGCAACTTCACTCACTTCTGGCTCTCTTTGTAGAAGAATGGACCGGCGATGTTTCCGGTACAATAGCCCAGGAAGAGGACTGCGTTTGTGACTACTTTCTTTGTGTGGCCTTGAATGATTTTGATTAGTTGGGTGTATCGGTGTGGAATTTCTGGGCTGCCATACCCGCTGTATTTGCGACTTGCATACTCAGGACCAGGACAAAGGCGGCGTTGTATGGTCCTGTTAAGTAATAGCAGATTAAACGGCCGACTTGTTGGTCTGGTGGGACGAAGCGCAGGCCGAATGCCCCTGCTATGTTCGGTATGAGGAAGATTAAGATGAAGACGCAGCGTCTGTTCTCGAAGCGGTCGTTGAGATATACACAGGCTAGAATGGAGAGTGCGATCAAGGCCCCGTAGGGTATCTGGATGGTGAATTTTGAGCTTTTGTTATAGTTTGGTGTCATCAATATAGCTTCTCACCTGCATCAGGGTAGTTACTAGGGTAGAGAATCCGAAGCCTTTGATGATTATGGTTCCAAAATTGGAGATACCGCCGTTTGGAATGTTACCTGGATAATTCGTCATATAAGCTATGGTATTTCGATAATCAAGGGAGAGGGTTTCATACAAACTACACCGAGGGTGAAGAAGAAATAAATCTTGTAGTCTAGGAATGCTTCGAGAATTTGGTAGGGTTTGAGATGCTTGTTTTCGACACCAGTCTGGTTATCTCGTAATCTCTCTACCGCGATTCGACGCTCCCTTTGGCTGAGGCCCGGTGCTGAGACCGGTGAATCAGGGAGGAAGATGAACATGACGATTCCCCAGGTTGAGCAAAGTGCGCCACTAGATGGCAGTCTCAACTTAGAAGAGAATTCAGTAGCAGTAAAATGGAGGGTTTGCCTACATCACAATAAATTCGTACTTCCACGATGGAAGTGCACCTCTGATATGACCAATGCCATAACCTAATAGACCGCCGAGGGCAATTCCGAGCCCGTTGGCCGTATACCATAAACCAATACGTACAGGCTGTTCGCGTCGCGTGTACCACATACTAGTAATGAGCATGAACGCAGGATCTGCACAAGCCTCTGCAGCTCCCCCAAGAGCTCGAAGCACTGCAAGAGTAGCGAAATTGTGACATGCGGCTTGGATCATCAAGAAAACACCCCTTTGAGCTGTTAGATGGCCGTGTTGCTATCTGGTGGTAAAGAATCAGAAACGTACCACATGAAGATGTTCGCTCCAAGGTATTTTCCTAAGACAGGCTAATTAGATCAGATTTTATATGCCTTTGTTAATTGATCCCATACCAATAGGCAGTCTTTGCATCAGGAAGTTTGTCGGAAACGCCCAGGCGAGGAATCCAAAGTAGAAGATACTACTGAGCCAACTATACTGTGTACCATGAAGGTTAAGATCTTCATTGATCCCAAAGATTGCCGCATAACTTAACGTGGTCTGCGAATGCATACAGCTGCGCGTTAGCCGGTCCAATGCAATAAGCAGCTGGTACACACTGGGATCAAAATCTTTAACTACCTTGTCAATATAGAAGAACGCGTAGCAAACAGCTAGATAGGGCAATATCATAAAATCAATCTTCCAGAGCAACTTTCTTGCCTCAACCGGATCCACAGGTTCCTGAAGTTCCTCGTCGTTAAAGAGTGCCATGGCCGTGTCGCCATCTTTCGGGTTTAGTGCTTTCAAGCCCGCCTCGACATGTGTGTTCTCGCTGTGGATAAATGTAGGTGCTTCTGCCAGGTCGGTCTTGGAGCCTGGAGAAGGCTCCAGATTAGGGTTGCCGCCCATGTTGCTGGCAGCTTTGTTCTTCTTCACGCGTGAGAGCCAGCCAAAAGCTGTCAACTTCCAGTTCGATGCAAATACAGACACGAGGGAAACGCTGCGTCAGGAAGGTGAGGGGTCATCGTTGTCTTTATGGACGGCCCAAACCTGACTAAACAAGATGCCAGGCCAGCTAGCATGATCACTGCCGACGAAGCTTAATCCACCATCGAATCCAATTGCATCCGCAACGAAACGAAGACTTTCAGTTTCGTCGTTATGGACTGGCTGGGGTAGGTTCTCTATCCCCACGCAGACCCACCGCGGCAGATGGGGAGCTCGGTCTGGGGTTTGACAATCTGCGGGGAACTGGCCCGTTGATCACTCGAGTTTTGGAGGTAAATCCGAGGTAGCGTTGGAAACGTGGGGGCAGCACATATTCAAGACCGCTCGGAACAAGGCCGTGCGATCGTATACTAGACAAAGCTGTTCTGTTACGACACGATTGGGTAATGCAAATAGAGATCGGACGAAAACCGAAAATAAAAGAAAAGAATAATAGGTGGAAAATCCACGACCGCAGTGCCGATCCTGCATGACAAAGAAGTCGGAGAAGAGTTTGGAAAGGCTGGAGTAAAAAGGGATGAAGTTCAACATTTGTGGATGGCGACAGAGCAGATGCACCATATTACCTTGAAAAGAGACCGATGAAGAGTGTTCTAATATGAAAACCAACCAGATATCCCGAGTATCTTAGCCTCGACGACATTAGTTGACATTCTATCTGTCAAGGGAAATACGTACAGCATTTGGTTGACTACCAGCCCAATACGAGCCTGAGCTGAGCAGATACCGCATTGAACATCTGTGTCATTCCATTGTGAAAGCATCAGTGCACTGGCAAGCCTTGATCGTTTGCTGACGGTAAATCACAAAGATTATGTGATATGTCCTCCATGATAAGGAGAATAACCTCGATTTACGCATCCATGTCGCTTTGCGATATCTCATCTTGTCGGATTCTCTTTTAGTCTATCTTTTTAGTTATTCCGTCCTTCTATATGGGCGCCTTGCAGTATGTAACTGCTTGAAAATCCAAGCATTTGTCCTGCAAAGCTTCCGGCATTGTTGCACAGAGTATCTGTCTATCTTCACCCATTAGATTGTGGAGTGCCACTAGTACTTGATAATAGCATGGCTGCCCCATCGTATGATCTCTTGACTTAATCTGATTCAGTTGGCAGAGCTCCTAGTATCAAGTCATTTTATCTTTGGTGTTGTTGCAACTGATTCACGTGGGTTCAGATGGTCAAAGGATCGGTCCCAGTTCCAGACGAACACAAGCCCCCGAAGACAGTCGTACCCAAGTTCCTGTCCCACTTCGTCGAGGTGGTCTGGAATCTCCGATGTTAAGGACTCGTCTATTCGAAAGGTTTCACCATTTGCGATATGTAAAGGAGTTACTCCTATTAGGATGATATCAAAATAATCGTTGAATGGCCTGACAATGCTTGGTTTGGACGCCCCTTGTAAGAGACAGACAACATCTCCCGACTTGACAGGTTGTGCTGAGACCCGCACGGTCCATTTAACGGTGCTTCGTTCGTCGCTATGATTGCAGCCACTTCTCGAATCCTTGCTGTACTGAAGCAATTGCATCGAGTTGTCTAAGTCAATGTGCACATGCTGTCTGTCAAATCGAGATTTGTCTCCGTACGCTGCAGATACCCTCCCTAGGCTATAACCTATGCCCTTGATCAACGCTAACTCCTTATCAGGCCAAGTTTCGATCGACACCCGTTGCGACAGAACATGCCTAATTATTTGCTGAAAGAGAACTTCCCAGGGGATCTCATAGTGAGGCAACAAGCCCACTGCTTCTAGGTTCTCGCAGCACATACCCAGAAGGGCAAACACTTTATCATGGCGTATGGTGGCCTCATGGGAATGATACATATCGAGCAACTCGCCCAAAGGGCGTCCCTTCTTGTACATTACTCCGTAACCCGGACGGAATATTGCTCTTCCTAAGAGATAAGTGACTGGGCGTACGGAATTGATCAAACTCTGCAGCCTTGGACATCTGTTATTTAAGGCCTCTATACCGCGCAAACCTGAGGAAAATGCGTAGCCATTCATCTCCATAGGGCCACATTTGACCAGGACTGACCGAGCAACTCCAACCTCCTGAAGAACCTGTAATTTTGTTAATCCGGCTCCTTTGTGTGTATACCTTGCTTAGTGTTACTCTTACCCAGACCCGTCGGAACCAAGGGCGTTCTAAGAGTGTTATAAGTGCTGCATCATTGAAATCTACCACCAGACTCTCGCCTTCCGCGGCGACTTGTAATCTCGCAAGTGTTAGAGTGCTATCATTTTCTTCTTCTCCAAGCCAAACGATAACATTTCTCGCTTGTCCATAGATACTTGCCATCAATTGAATCTGCTGTTCTTTCTCTGCGTTGCCTTTTTGGTCAATGCATATAGCATCGACCCACAGCAGCCTCGGGAATCGTTGAAATCGAAGGTGCGACAGCGCTGCATGCAAGTTCGACGTGACCTCCAGGGCGCAGTTGTTGACATATATCGAAGAGGGGTTTTCTGTGGAACCCCAAACATACGACAGGGCTTCGTAGGCCTGCTCCTCATGTTTCTTGAGAGGGTGCTCAATGAGCTCACATTTAATTGGAGCAGTCCGGTCTTGATTTGGTAATAGGCGAAGCATGCGAATGGTGTTACGCCCTGGAGGAAGTGGAGTATAATTATAGTGAGGCATATTGTCAAACACTTTTCCCCAGAGAACATCAGAAGTTATACCCCAAAAGGACGTTTGTGGGGTAGCAGAATTCAATTGGCGTCTCTAGCAAGGCAGATGTTAACGAGAGATCAACAAACCCCGCAAAAATCGATAAATCCCGTGCATCAGCACAATATCGAGCAATGCCGATGGTTTTATTGTAATTTCTAGTTTCTTCCAAGAAAATACCCTATATTGATCTCTATCCAAGGTTACAAGAAATGATAATTCAGAAAACGTCAATGGCCATATACAAGTAGTAATAATACAGTCGCCAAATGCAAAACCCCGAATGAGCAGCGGCCCTTTAACGACGCCGTTTCTGTCCACGACCACGTCCTCCCTGTCCTCTCTGGCCGGAAAGAGCAGACTTCTGTCGGAGGTAGTTCGAGACGATGTTCTCGACGCTGCGCATATCGTGTCTGGGTTGTCTGTGGGGGTGAAACAAGATATGTTAGCCAAGTTGAGCACAGATAGAACTCACAAAACCTCCCCAACAACAAGCCGTATACGCACCTCATGTAGTACAACCTGGCTCTTCTCTTCCTCTTCTCCGTCCTCTGTACAATTTCCACGCTCTCAACGTTGGGACTGAAAACCTTCACCCACATCTCAACACCGACCCTGGTAAGCTCATTACGAAGCAAGAATGTGGTGTCAACGCCGCGCAGACGAATGCTAAGACAAACGCCGGAGAATGGGTCCCCGTTCTTAAAGGTCACGCGCAGGATATCGCCGACCTTCACACTGCGTGGGTTTCTTCTGTAGTCGAAAAGTGCTTTGCGTTCACCAGTTGGATCAAGGGCTGCCAATTGAGATTCGGTCACTGCTGCCACGGGATCTTTGCAAACCGTGCGGCTGGAAGGCGGAGCAGGGTAGACTTTGAGCTTCTTGCGGCCTGTTTAGGGGTGCATTAGCTATCTGAAAGTAGCCTCCGGGGTGGAGCAAAAGGCGCAACGCATACCATTTGTAGGCTGCTGGCGAGGAGGTATTTGAGAAAGGAACGACTTGGGCAATTTGCTCGGAAGAGGGACGGGCTCTTGTTTCGGAGTGTATGCAGTCGTGATGGATCGGCGAGCGATTTGGGACGACACCAATGATTGGGGCTTCGCGATAGACCTTAAGCAGCCCAGCTGCCGCAGGATTGGTGAGAATGTCGCCATGGCTGCAAGGATTGTGGTGCGCTGAGCAGCTGGCAAAGAGAAAGATGCGAGAAACAGGCGGACCTCCGAGCGTGAAGTTTGCGGACCGGCAGAATTTCCGCCAAGACTCAAATTCCCTGTTTGGGTCAACGTCCAGAACTCAACTCGGGGAACTTTTCTGCCACCGCGGTCCAGCTTGCGCTTCACGTTGTGTTGATCTAATCTTCAATTCTGTACAAGCAGGGTTTGCTCTTCTCGAGAAGGTTTCTTTAGGAGAACCTATTGCATTCAAATACGCCCGCGCCCTCTGTACCTTCAATACAATGGCGCAGAACGCCATTGGAAGGCTCTTCCGCGGCCAAAGTTCCAACACCCTCCGTCAATCTATTAGCACCCTCACACAGAAGCGTTGCTATTCCTCGAAAAATGGTGCGATTGCTCGCTGGTCTTCCTTTGTTGCCACCAAACTAACTTCTAGAATGCAGCCATCCCGACCTTTTCTCCGACTTCCTCCGCCGAGCTGGACCAGGCCCTCAATCGTTTCCGCGAAGAACTCTTCATACCGTTTGGACTAGGAACGCAGCAAAGGAGGTTAATGTTTCGTCAGAAGTACGCCGACCGTCTAGAGGAAGAGCCGGTCAGCGTATCCGTTGGCGAAGATGAAGAGCCATTCCTGCTTCGCCCCATGGACCCGCAATCAAGGCCAACGAAGAAGGAAATCGTGGACGTTATTACACTCATGCAGACGACAAAGGACTGGCAGAACTTGATCCCTTTCCTGTCCGGATTGCGAATGTCACATCGTGTCATTAAGTCAGACCGCTGGGAGTGGTTGGTGCGCCGGGCTGGCCAGGCTGATGCTCTTGGTATTATTCTCGAAGCCGCGAAGCAGAGCGAGCGGACTGGTCTCCGTCTCAACAATGTGGATATTGTACAGCGCATCTTCTTCGAACTTCACCGCAAGGCCCAAAGAGGAGAGTTTAAGGATCCCGAAGTATCGAAGGCTTTCACATTGGCCAAGCAGTTTGTCTCCCTGATGGAAGCCCCCCAACACATCGAACATAACCTGGAGCTGGATCCTAAGAGGAAGCCATTTGTCATTGGTACCCTGCTGGAGCTCAGCGCTGCTCGTGCCATTAACGAGCTTGGCGGCAACGATGAAGGCGGCCTGGTCCGTTCCTATGCTCAACGTCTCCTGGGCAGCTGGTCTCTTAGTAACTTCAATCGTGACGCTAAGAATTGGCACGAGGTTGATCACGTGCTGCAAGAGATCGTGCCCATCTACAATGGTATGAAGCTTGCCCTCAAGGTCAACGGCATTTCAAATGATAAGTCTGTCGCTCCGGGTTTGAAGACACGCGTAAATGAGCTGGGAACTTTGATTGCGAACCAGAAGAAGGCTGCACCGGAGAAAGCTGTGCAACGGCCAACGTTGGGCCTTGAGCAGAGTCACCTTTTGCATTAGGGTTAAACCCATGTTTCTTTCTACACATTGTCCATGAACTGTATATTACCACTTAGAATCATTTGGAGCTGTATGTTATTTCAATTTGAAAATGAGCTATTTTCTCCTTGGACAAAATATACCGCTGCGCCTAACATGTGTGGGGCACTTCAGTATCAACATGGATAGAGGCAATTTAATTCTCCATTCAAAAGGTGCAAAGAAATCAGCCGGTAACATAAGTCATGTAGCGGCCAGGTCAACGCTAAAAACGATCAGATGTTGTTGTGCAAATAGACGATTTAGCACAACTCTATTGTGTTGTCGTCACGGATGCGGCCCTGTGCCGTCAGCGTAGTTTTCTCAGAAACAACGGCTGGGCCAGAAACAGTAATCTGTTGGGCAATCGTTAGCTAGGTGAAAAGACATAGTGCAAGTCCATTATGACAGCATCGCATACCTGTCCCTCATTTTCCTTGTCTTCAGAAACACCGGTGAGAACAATTTCAACGCTACTTAAAGGAGCTCCGAAGTGATTCTGGCCCTGATAACGCCTATAGTCGAATACGTTCGTCTGAGAGACAGCGCCGGCCACGCCTGGACCAGTCAAGGCATAGACCACACGAGCCCCAGTAAATATCTTCAAGTCCGTCAACTGTCCAGAGGTAAGGCGAACATTGGGATCGGCGTCCGCACGGTGCGAGATGCATAAGAGGCGAAGTTTGTCGAGTGAGAGTTCAGCCATCGGTCCAATATTGGCAACCTGACTGAACATGCCATGAGAAGGCATAACTCCAGCATCTAGTTTTCTCACATCAAACCAACGAGCCAGGGAAGAGATAACGCCAGAATGTGGCTCCATGAATCTGCTATGGTAATCGGACATTGTACGAGATGAGGCGATAACTACAGTTGGAGATACTCCAACGGTAGCCAAAGCGAAGTCGACACCTTCCCCAGCGACAGAGTTCACTGCAACAGAGGCATTCGAGTACAGAGCAGCCATGACCTGGCATAATGGATAGGAGCGAGAGAGGGAATCAGTCGAAAGCACAAGATCAGTAGGGTTAAAGCGCTCATTACGAGGTAGGGAATAAGTCAGGCCAGCGATGGCGGAGATCAAGTTCTGTGACACTATCAGCCTTGAACCAGTACAGGAAGGGAAATCCTACCTCCGGCTGATACTCAATGAACTCGCCTGCTCCTGTGGCGGACGGCCAAACCGTAGTAAGGGAAGGTGAAGGGCTGTTGGGCTCCCAGCTGGGAACATCAAGCCCAGCCAAGTCCTTCTTCTCTTCTAATATTTCATGCCAGACAGCAACCTCTAGAGTACCTTTGACATCACCAGGCACATCATTCCAGTCCATATGCCTACTACCAAGCTTCGCAACCCAGATAACTTGAGTGAGTTGCTCGTTACTCTTTGCTACAAGAGACAAATCAAGCGCGCCTGCCTCCGCAATCAATACATCTGCCTGAGATTTCTGCAGGAGGGTAGATAGATCATTAGGGTCAAGGTTGTGAGGAATAAGGATGACCTTAAACCCATAAAAAGCACCGGCTGTATCAGAGCTTCTGTCAGTAAGCAGCCATAGAGCGCACGCAGGTCGAGGAGCGCTAACCGAATATTGAGGCCAAAAGCTCCACTGAGTCTGTAAGACAGACGGCAACTGTTTTAGCCTTGGAGGATTGCAGGCGAGTTCCAATGACATTGATCTCTTGCGTTACTTGTTCCAACGAATGCTCTATCGCCCTTCTTCCGAGCACAGTATAGAGCTTTCCCTGTTTACCAGATAACTTTCCTTCCTCTGCAGCTCCGCGAACAGCAGTTTTCCAGACATCGCGCAAGTCACCTCTTCGTCCAGCGGTCCATTTTGGTGCGCCGGGGTCTTTGACGTTCAGTCCGGACCGAAGGGGAAACCCGTGTGGGGTCTCAAGGCTGCGGTAGGCGGCAGTTTCACCAGGCTGGCGGACAGGGAAGGCTGTTGACTGGCGAGCCAGCAAGAATGGGTGAATGTCTGGCTCCTTGGACGTAGCAATGGAATAGATAAGAAAGGCGACAATAGTCCCTGCGATGAGAGTAGTGTATATGTTCCAGTCAGCCAGGACGTCAGCGACCAACGTATCTAGCTTGGCCACTAGCGACGTTTCCGAGGCCATTTTGAGTTTACTTATATCGACAATGTGTCGTCATGTAGGATAAGAGATGTACTGAAGGGTGAAGGTCCCGATTGTTTCTGTATTTCCGTAGTAAGGGCCGGGTTCTAGGCTGGAGCGAGATGGTGACGTGACCTCAGCTGAGGGTAGATGTGGAGACAATTCGCGGGTCCGGCGTTTAATACTTCTAAGTTACCGAGCTAACTGAAAACTCCGCGTCAAGTGCGCTTGTGCCAATGGTTGCCAGTGAGCAGGACGCACCGATGATCAAAACAAGCACTGTCGTACCACAGCATTCGAAGTGCCAGTCGCGCTGCCCACCACGATATAGTTATGACTCTTTTTGAGCTCATATAATTACTTAACGCCGAGAAATCATACGCAAATGCTCAAGTGACTTTTTCTAAGACAGCGTCGCACAGGTAAGGTAAGTTTTAACACCCCAAATTCAAGTAAGTTCTCTGGATCTCTTTGTGCAACACTGAGGACATCATACTCACATCTGTGCAGGCTATCTCCTTTTTCTCTTTGTTTGTACTTTTACGCCTTCGTACGCATCAATGGCTTCCCTATCCGCCCCATCTACCCCTAGGACAGCATCTTCGCCTGCACCTACTTCAGACGAGTCTCGGACACCAGGAAAATGGCGCCACCCACAGTTGAATGAAATAGTCAGGCGACAGAATGCCGGCACATTTGGGGATAGTAATATCAAGAGAGTTCTGTGGAATGGAGCTGCTTTACTAGCAACCTGGATCTTTGGCAACACCTTCAAATCCTAGTGAGTAGTGACAGGAGGTCGATTATGATGCGCAGACTAACAATTTCGACACAGTTCTCTTCGACTCGAAAAGTCCAGCCAGTATTCTACATATCCTGATATTTCCCTACTTGTGTTACAACTTATCTTCATTCTCAATATCCTCGTGGCACTATACCCTCTCATTCGCCCAAAGGACAACCTCTCCGATATCCCTCTCACGCCTACGCAACGCGCCCTTTTAGGGCTTGATCCATCTGCTACAGCACCGCCCACGCCGGGATCTACATACATCACTCCACCCAAATACCGGCTCTCTGGGTCGCGGGCAGCAAGCCCGGCCAGCAGAAGTGCTTCGCCTTTGTCGACCAGCGCCAGTGCTTCTGGCCGTAGGGTATCGTCGGGCGCATTGTTTTCACCTTCTCCTAGTCCATTAGTCCACAAGGCTGTTTCAAACGGGGGAAGAGAAAATGGACGGAGACCGAGTTTCGGCTCTCCATCGCCTCTCGGTCGAAGCTCACCTTTTCGTGAATCAAGCTTTCGCGAATCAAGCTTCGGATCGAGTATGGGTCCTCCGACTCCGTCACCAGTTGGGGGAAAGCGTGTTAATCTGGGTCTGAGCAATAAGTGGCTGTATGAGCGGAGCAGGCGGTTGTCAGCGAGCAATGGTAGTCTTTGAATTACGTTCGTTGGTGTTTGGTGCATTAGGGTGGAGACAATCATATATTCATATGTTCTGAAGGGCGTTCAGCAAGCACTGTGTCCTTTTTTGAAGAGATCGAATTTTCAATGTTCATTTTAAGCATTATATTTTTATAGGAGATTTTCTTGGTAGACAGGAAATGTATAACTATGACGCATTGGAAATTCTCGGAAATAAATTTTAGCTGATGAAAATAAGCATAGACCGCACAGTGCGCAACTAGGCAGCTTTTTCCCACGTTCCCCAGTTCTGATGTCCGAGTCTCCGCGGGTCTAGTACCAAGTTCTAGTTCCCGCTTTATGCATTGCCCAAGAATGCCAACTACCTCCATTGGCATTCATCCACACGCGGCACTCACCGATTGGAGTAATTTCCAAAGCACCGTTTTCGAAAAACGTCATCTTCAACACTGAATTTAAATCATCACGGTTCGTGACTGCATGAGGCCGACATTTCTGTGAAACACAGGCGGTGGCTTCACAATGGGAGCTTCGGAGTCAAAGCTAGTCTTCAAGCAGGGAATCTTCCGTCTTTCAGAGGAGAAGGACATACCGGCCGACGATCCGTACTGGGCCAGAGTTCGTTTCCCATCTCCTTTACCGATGTGGAGGTTTCTTGGTATCTCTGACATTTGTACGGTAGTTCTGGGAGCTCCCAGAGTCCACCGAAGATGTCTTCAGTTTATTCACCCCCGCCGACATACGACGGACTCGCGACAACGCGCTATCCAACTTCGAAACGCTATTACTCTCTGTAACATCTCGTCTCAGTATATTGAAGAACCATCCCTCGTTTCCGGACCCTGAGCTTGCTCCCGACCGTGACGCCCTTAACTGTATTCGCATCTTGACCCGTATCCTCCCATTCGTTTACGAAGCTGAGCACCTAGAGGACTGGGAAGAGAAGTTCTTTTGGGGTCGTCGGAAGAAGAAGACAAGAGAAGCACAAGTAGCAGCCGAGATACTCTTTGATGAGGCGCAGGCCGAAGAACCACGAGCGTCGCCAGGGCCCAATGATTATGAAGAGGTGAAGCCTTTGGCTGAGGAATTAATTGATACACTTGTGGATCTTCTCTTCTACACAGACTTCACCATCCCAAAGCTCCCGACGGCCAAAAGCAAAGTGTCCTACTCAATATGGCAGAGCGGTGTTGGTTGCAATACATCTATGGGCTCGAACAAAGAGCTGGAAAACAACCGCTGTGAGATCATTCGGCTATTACTTACTTTAACGGGAAAGGCAATGTACATGCCTTCAGGTAAGTGCTGTCAATTCTTACCAATGACGGCCTCAGCTGACTTTCTAGCAGGTTTGTTGCCAGTCCAAGGTGTCAAAGCCATCACGTACATTGCAACATGTCCTGATAAGCAGGCCGTTCTAACGCTACTATGCTCGTTACTAAACACAGTATGTGTGAACCTCCACCACGACATCCGTGTATAGGACTTTGCTGACACCCCTAGGCCATCAAATATAATCCCGCTTCCTGGAGGGTGCCCTATGACCATGTTGTTTGGAAAGACCCTAAGCAAATATTAGTTATATATTGCTTGCAGTTTCTCTTGGTGCTTCTCTTATATCCAATTCCAGAAGATGGGCGCGGGGCTCCGCCAAAAAATTACTACCGTCATTACTTCGGAAGGCTACATAGGCCGCAGGACTTCCAATTTCTCGTTGATGGCATGACCAGAATCTTAAATCAACCAGTAGGTCTTAGCCACCTTCCTTGAGGGTTTCTTTCTGCTTACGCCACGGTTGCCAGATGCAGGCAACAAATTCCTACCTTCCTGGTAGTCAAAAGACTGTCAAGTGGGCACCCGAGATGATGATGCTCTTCTGGGAAGCTTTACAATGCAATAAGCGATTTAGATCATTCATCATCGACTCCAATCGTTCGCACGACTTCGTCATTCTTTGTATCTTCTATGCTATTGTATACAAGTCTGACCCTTCACAGCAAGGCGTGGTCAGGATGTGTATTTTCATCACACAGACAATGAGCGTCGAACCCAATTTTGGGAAGAGTCTGAACAAGAAATTTGAAGCTCAAGAGACGCTTCCACAAAGCATCCGTATTCCTGGTTTCAGGGGATCTTATGCCGATTACTTGATCATGGTTTGTCATTTGCTATTCTTCAAATTGACTGGTTCAACTGACGCAAGCAGTCCGTTCATACTCTGATCACCGGAAGCAAAGGCAAATTAACCGCTGTCTACCCCGCGTTGCTAGCAATCATCAATAACATAGCTGCATACGTCGAAAATCTGTCCCCAGCTGCATGCTCCAAACTTCTGCAGCTCTTCTCCTCAATGTCTGCCCCAAGCTTCCTACTGGCTAACGAGACGAATCATGCCCTTCTTTCCTCAGTACTTGAGTCTATCAATGCGCTTCTCGAGCATCAATTTACCAGTAAGTTGTACTTTTACTACCACACCCAACAAATCGCTGAGTCTGGCAGAAAATTCATTCCTGGTATACGCCATTCTTAAACACAGGAGACGTTTTGAGGCAGTTCGAGAATTTACGCTCGAGAGCGGACAGCAGGAAATAGAACGCCAAAATGAGAGACGAAAGTCTGAAGGCGGGTCTTACGATTTTGTTTCCAGCCCGGTCCTGTCGGCGTCTGAAGATGATCCTCACACAGCTTCTGGTGCGCGGTCACCGTTGGGTCGTATTCCCGAAGAACACAGTCCGTTCGCAATTGGTGGGGACGATTCAGATGACGAGCAAGAAGAGCAAAAGACGCCAGCACAATCATCTCCATCTGTTCAGAGCTCTCGTAGACCTTCAATTTCATCTGCTGTCGATGAAAGCGTGCCACTACAGCTACGGGGAATGTCCGAAAAGGCACGGGGCAAGATGCCTGCTGGACAACCATCCTTTTCTAGGCAAAATAGTATGACCAGCCAGAGTAGTATGTCGGCGGCCTTTCCAACGACTCCCAATGGTTTCACACCAACTGTAGCTTGGGTAAGCAATCTTCCGTTTCCCGCATATCGCTCAGTCTACTAACGGCAGAATATTCAGCTTGAGTCCTGGTTACCGGACCTACCACTCCATACTATTCTTACTATCATTTCAGCCATTATGCCTCACATCCCTGAGTCCACTTTACAAAGTACTTCTAGCCCAGAAGCTCGGACTCTAATCACAAACATCCCCTCATTCGCGGAAGAACCAATGATCCAAAGTATTATCTCAGAGCCCCCTCCCACCCGTGTACATTCCTTCGAATGGTCAGCTCTTTCCATGGGCTGGTATGAATCCTTACTGTGGGGATTCATCTTCTCGAGTGAGATGGTCGTTGGCTCCGCTTCGGGCGCCACGCCGGGTACCGTTGGAGTGTGGAATGGAACCGCCATCAAACTATTCAAGGTCCAAGAGGCTGCAGCACAGGGACCCACGTTGCTCGCTCCAAAGGGCGCTGTAGACGCTGTTGGTAGTAATTTGGTTCAACGGATCGGGAACCTGAGTCTCCGGAGGACCAGCACGCAGGATTCTCAGAACAGTTCCAGGGCTCCATCTGTTCGGGAAGTCTGATCTGCTGTTACTTAAAGCTATTGTCTTTTTCTAGCAGGTTGAATCAGTGTCGTCACGTTACTATAAAGAGCTGAGCTTGTTTTCCAATGATCTTATTTATGTTCATCTTTAATGATACCTTGGTGGCGTTTGCAATGAAATATGTTTTCTTATGAACACACATGGGGTATATAGAAGTGCTAGCCTCTTCAATATTATATCGATCTGCTCGGTCTTTTTTTTATGTTTTTTTTATCTCTGACAGGGTTTGGAAGTTCACATTTCCGTATTCTTTCGGTAGCCAATGACTCATTTGTAGAGCCAGGACCATATAACGTTCCAGATCATGATAGGGGAGGAAAAGGGATGATATCGAAGTCTATATCTGTCTATGAATCTGTAAATAATGTCGATATTCTTGTGTAAAACTACCGTTCTCTCATAAGAGGGCTGGGGTGTATGTTATTGACCACGTGAGGTCGTGATTGGCTGCGGACCACTTCTCGGCGTTCATTTGATTCGATTTCCAACACAAACAACCAGTGTAAACAGCTCATTTGTATCGTATATATAAATCATTTGGTACATCTCCTGGAAATATTTTGCGCATTATTTGCTTTTTTTTGATATCTTCTATTGGTATTGTCTGGAGGTGAACATGATTCTTTCCCAGCCCTTCTTTGTCGCAGCATCTGCAGCTCTTCTGTCCCCAGGACTGGCTGCTGGATTTTCGACTGAGCTTCAGAGTGTGCTGAAGAACACACATGGTGGCAATGAATATGGATATCCTACCGATTTTACCAGGGGTATAATGCCTGTGAGTTCATCTTAAATCGCTGCCCTTGGGTTTTGTACACGTTTTGTCAGGGGTATCCGGGTGTTTGAAAAGGAAATTTGCTAATACAATCTATTCCGACTATTTAAGATACCAGTCCACTCCCACAAGTAGGCCACAATGGTTTTATTAATACTTTCTTTTTCCTTTGCTGTAACCTTGTTATAACATGAGGAATTACTAACCATCTCATGGCAGTGATTACTGGAGAGATATTCCCTTCTACACTGGTACAGCTAATCTAGAAATCTAGATCTCCATGAGGAAGCAAGGCTAACGCCATCTAGGTCTCTCCAAGGGCTGTGTTTCAACAGAAGCCGATGTGTGGCTTTATAACGGTACACTTTACGTTAGTTCTATGATTGATTCCCAGCTCTACATGAGTGACGTACACTAACGCCCACAGGTCGGGCATGATGAATCCTCCTTGACTGAGGAACGAACTTTCGAGTCCCTCTACGTCAATCCAATGTTAGATGTGCTAAAGCGCCAAAACCCCCAAACTCGTTTTGTGACTTCACCCACGAAAAAGTGAGTTTGATGAAGTAGTCTTGCTAGTTCTCCTGCTGGTGAGTATTAACCTTGTGCCAGCGGCGTCTTTGACACTACTACTTCGCAAACCCTTTACTTTTTCGTCGATGTAAAAACGTCAGGACCTGAAACATTTGAAGCTGTTATATCTGCGTTAGAGCCACTCCGCAAGGAGGGCTATCTGACGTCGTTGAAAGACAACAAGACGGTGACAAGTGGTCCCATAACCGTCATCGGGACAGGCAACACGCCTCTTGATATGGTTGGACCGGTTGCTAATCGTGACTACTTCTTCGATGCTCATCTAGATGCGCTAGAGGAAAATCCTGAGATCACGTCCTTGATCTCTCCTATTGCATCTACTAGCTTCCAAGAGACAGTGGGCTCAGTCACATACAGTGAGGATAATGCTGTTCTGAGTGACGAGCAGCTGGCTATCCTTCGGTCCCAGATTAGTACTGCAAAGGAAAGGGGAATTGGTGCGAGATACTGGGAGACTCCTTATTATCCGATCCGGACCCGTAATGCTGTATGGAGGACGCTTCTCCAGGAAGGTGTTGCTTTGTTGAATGCTGATGATCTGGATGCTGTTGCGGCTTATTTCTGATTGTACAATATATACATATCCGCATGATCTGCCATTAGGGGATTACATTGTTAGTAGATCGAAAATAGAGTGGTTTTAACGGCGATAGTCACTGTAGCTCTCAAATACTTATTCGGCCATGAGAACTACGGGTGATGTGACTGGTAAAGCGTAATGGAGACTATACGATATGTACATACGTAGAATCTCACTATCTTATCAAGATGTGATGAAAGTAAACAGTTTCCCTGACGATCAGCTGAAAAAGGCCTGTCCGCTGCACGTGACCCGTCCGTGAGGCTTCTGGGCCAAAGGAAAAATAGATCAGAAGAGGGGAAAGCAAAGAGATAAATAGGGAAAATAACGCGCGACTAATAATTCTAATCCCTGCTTTTACATGAAGTCTACAGTCTAGTTCTCAACAGACTCGATGTCTAAGGTCGATGTTGATCTGGGGGATCTCTTGGCTAAGGTGCTCCCCACCGGTGTCAAGGTCACCATTCGCCATATCTCGTCAGCTCCTACCCCATGCACAGCGCTCTTTGCGCCTCCTCCAGGGGAAGAGCCCGAGTCGACGTTTTGTGAAAACCATTTTCTGACGGTCTCCGTGAATGCCGACGAGCATGATGGATCCGAGATTATCGTTTTTGGAATCGAAGTTCTGGTCTACAGCACAGCGCATTTAACGACTGTTTTCGTCTCCAAGGCGGATTCTACTGGATTCCTGCACTTACTAAAAAATGCACCGAAAGTTTCGCTCATCAGGCGCATCTCTAACGGCTTCCTGTCTTTCCTGGTGCAGACACATCAACGGCCAGGTGTTCGGCTGGTGGTGTCATTGTTCGCACGGGCTCAGAACCAGTATCTGTTCCCAGGCAGCATCGAAAATTCGGGAAAGCATGTTCTCGACGATAGGGGTCTGATCAAATGGTGGTGTCGCGCCGTCGACCCCATATTACGCGAGTATGAGCCGGAATCAGGATCCCACGAGAAAGGTCTCCTTGACCGTGCTATGGAATCCGCTCAAAGTTCCGCAACAGCATTCCTGATAGTCCCCGGATGTGACAAATTTGAAACTCGAGGCTTCTTCCCTAGCACCGCAAAATCAGATGATAAAGAACGCCCCAGGTGGCTGAACAGCTACCCGCTTCATCAGCTGTGCGACAACACCGACGCGCCTCCGCGCTGCTTGATTCCTCGTTTTCCAGATGATCCGAAAACACGCTTCGTGGTTGACTTGGATGATGAGCTCCCGCAACAATCGGAGGCGGGGGGCTCGAAGGAAGGCGCTGGGCAATGGAGGAGTGTCAAATCTCTAGAGCAGTTCTGGGAGATGATGTCTTTCCGGCAGGAGTGTTCTGCTGGGCGACTGGTCGGATTCTTGTGGCTTGTTATTAACCCTCCGGGACTTGTCAACTCGGTTCAAATGACAAGCTCCAGGCCTGTTTTCAAAGAGACAGCAGAGGATTCCTCGCCAGCGACCGTCCCCACATCTGACCAGGTGGATTCAAACCCCATTCGGACAGAAATGCCTGGTTCTACTAATTCCCAGTCTCCAAACTCTGCCAAAGATTCTATAGTAGATGCAACGTCAGGTGGTCCTGTGCAAGACCCATCTTTCCAGACAGGCAGCTTATCTTCTGAGACCCATCCCAAAATACAGCCGAACACAGACCTGAACGCGTTTTACTGGCCAGAAGCAGGCCGGGGTCATGCTGTTATGAGCGAAGAAGATTACAAAACCGCGATCAATTTCCTACTTGAGCAAGACTTCTACAACCAAGAGGTTTCTATAGCCAGCACTAAGGCATGGGGTGAGAAAGTTGCATCCATCGTGGACCAGCTTTGGGTCGGTCAGCAAGTCACAGGAAGGAACACGTCTGGAGAATCTGCCGACAAACCCGCTCCAACGACAAACATCATTAACACTGGATTGGTTCGAAAGCGAAAGAAAGATGAACAGAGCCAGGCGACGACAGCAACAACAGCACAGAATGAAGGGCGCGCGGGAAACGATACAGTCTCAGGTGTAGTGACAGTAGAGACTAGTGCAACAGAGACGAATGAATCCTCTGGAATCAATGTGCTTCAAGCAAACTTGATCCGGAAGAAGAAAAAGGCTTAGATCTGACAGCAGATGCCTCTCGCATGGACTGGAGTTGTAAACGGGATTATGGGACATTTCAGCGATTTGGGGTTTTCTATTTGGGAAGAACAGGGCCATTACAATGTATATTCAGAGCAGCAGTTGGTCCCTGGGCATTTGTCTTCTGTTCGAGTCTATTCTTGGATATATCGTTATTCCGTCAGCTGGGGGATTTAGATCCGTGGAACCGATAAATGACGGTGAACGGGCCACATGGACTAAATACCAAAAAGTGATCCATTCGATTCCAGGAAATGTGTAATTTGAGATTTGGTTTCGTGTTGGTTATGACGCTTTTGAATATCTCTTCCCTCTAATTTCACGCAAGTATATCGGGACTGCTATCCTATGTAAAACAAACTCGAAACAAGAGAGCGGGCTTGTTCGACGTGGCTCTCCGGAACGGGTGAAATTACAGGAATCCACCGCATGATAAAACCGACCCATAAATATGGACGCCGTCCGTTACATCCGAATGGAACAACCACGGAACTAATTTAGTTCATACCTTTCCCTCGTTCGGCTGTTGCGTGGCAGCCATCAGGGGAAAAAACAAAAAAAAACGCCAAAGGTTGAAGGTTGAAACATCGTCAAGTGTTAAGGCCTCTAGCAAAGAGTCAACTGACCCCAATTTATTTCTCTCCGCACTTCACTTCGCCAGCTTCCCGTCCATAGAATGTTGTTGCGACGTTAATTACCTCTTTTCTTTGCCAACCGTATTGTCTCTCTCCGCGTCAATATTCGCCTATGCTAAATCTTCAATCGCGTTCGATTTCCCTCGATTTTGGACCGACCATTAGCAATGGCGGGCTCCAGTGGTCTGTGATCGTGGGTTGGGGGTGTCTGATCTGGTATACAACCGTGGTCTTGGTTTGCTATCTGGGATACTTTCAAATGTAAAACTTCCTATTCGGCCTCTGATGCCCTTTCCTGATCTCTTTCTTTTTCTATTGGGTGTATTCAAACCTATGCTTATTGTGACTCAAAACAGATGGCGATACTTTCTCCAAAGACCCCGGAAATCCCACTCCGCGACTGCCTCCGACGCTCCCCATGTTACTGCAATCCGACCCGTCAAAGGTCTCGAGCCGAATCTGTATGATTGTCTGGCCTCGACCTTCCGTCAGGACTACCCTGCCGACAAACTGACCGTCTATTTTTGTGTCGCATCTCGAAACGATCCTGGCTACCCAACTCTGCAAAAGCTTGTGTCTGATTTTCCACACGCCGGTGCACGCATCTTCATCGAGGAAGAGGATCCTTTGCTCCAGCCAAATGGAGAACGTATCTACGATCTGGGACCAAATCCGAAGATTCGGAACATGAGCCGGGCTTATAGAGAGGCCAAGGGTGATATTGTCTGGATCATAGATTGCAATGTTTGGGTAGGCAAAGGCGTCTGTGGGAGGATGGTCGACCGGCTTTGCGGATTTGGTGCTACTTCGGGCAAAAAGTACAAATTTGTGCATCACTTGCCGCTTGTAGTGGACGTCACTAGCGGTGCCAATTCGACAGAGGAGCAAGATGCACTTGTAGAGTCTTATACCAACGGCGATGCAGATTCAAACAGCGATATGTCCTCAGCACCGATTATCACCAAACGCGAACAGGGCACTCTTGCGGCAGGTGGAGGCCGTTTAGAAGAATTGTTTCTTTCGTCTTCTCATGCAAAAATGTACACCGCAATCAACACAGTTCTCATCGCACCCTGTATCGTGGGCAAATCCAACATGTTCCGGCGGTCGCACCTCGACTATCTCACAACGCCGTCCCCTACCGATCCCAAGAAGCGCAACCCTGGTATCGATTACTTTTCCGACAATATCTGTGAGGATCATCTGATTGGGGACCTACTGTGGAAGAATCGCGTCCGCGAGGAGAAAGAGAAAGGCGAGCGGTTCGGCAAGCATAGCATGGTCTTCGGAGATCTGGCGATCCAGCCTGTGGGAAACATGAGCGTTGGGGATTACATCGCACGGCGGGTTCGTTGGCTACGTGTCCGCAAGTTCACCGTTCTCCTAGCGACCTTAGTCGAGCCGGGCACGGAGTCCTTACTGTGCTCATGTTACGGCGCCTGGGGAGTGACCACGTCCTTGGCTCAATTCCTACAGGAAAAAGGGTTCTGCTGTGCAACTTATATGACCACATGGACTGCCTTCTTCGCGTTTTTCTTCCTCAGCCTGGCCGTCTGGATACTGACCGATTGGACGCTGTATATCAAGTTGCATTCCGCCAAATCTGTTGAGCTCGATGAGGACACGCCATCTTTTGCACGGCCTCCGTCTCACTGCTTAACTAGACGAACTTTCTTTCAATGGTTCTCGGCGTGGCTTGGACGCGAGTGCTTAGCCCTCCCTATATGGATCTGGGCCTTCTACGGTGGCGTAACCGTTACCTGGCGCAGCCGTCGATTCCGAGTCGGACTAGACATGAAAGTTCGAGAAATTGATAGTGAAAAGACGCCCCAGCCTAACTCCAAACAAGCCCCAGGCAGTCAAGGGAATTGAAAGATAGCCAGGATGGGATGCCGCACGCCGAAGCAACGAGGGACGAATGTACGAATATCACTAAATGAAATGGTAAAAAATAAAAAAAATTAAAGAACTTTTCTATCCAATTCCCACACATCTATAAAAAAAAATAAATAAATAAAAAGCCGTAAAAGCGTAAATCATTGCATCGATCCCTCCGCAGCAGCAGGAGCATTCTCCCCAGCACCGGTCTCCAATTCACCACCCTTCTCCGAACTTAACAACCATTCCACAACCTGTCTCCCCTTCGACATCTTCCCAGCATCGCCTTCACCCTCCTGTGCCTCAGCCCCTACTTCAACCTCAACCTCATCCTGCTCCTGCTCCTCACCCTGCTCCTCAGTCGACCAATCAGCCCTCTCAGCGAGGAAAACAGCATCTAAGCCAGCATCATTCTTCATGGAGATATCAGCACCAGCCCCAACAAGCGCCTTCACACACTCCAAATGCGTATTCAGCGCCGCCCAGTGCAACGCCGTGTTCCCTGAGTGATTACGGTGGTTCACAATGGCTGCCACCTGAGCCTGGTCCAGCTGAGTCTCACCCTGAGTGAGAACTCCCAGGAGGAAGTTCAAGATTTCTAAATACCCAATTAGCCCTTCTTTCCTTCCAATACCATACATCCCACTCCCTTAAAACCCCTCCCCAAAAACAACCTTTAAAAAACCAAAAGAAAGAAAAGAGAAAAGGAAAGGAAGTACGTACCCTCATTGCCATTCGCAGCAGGAAAATGCAAAAGGCATGATCCGGTACCACCCTCCTCTTCAGGCTCGGAGTCGATAGCCGACGCCACGATCCAGGCCTGCGGGCAGCTGTGTTGGGTGCTCAGAGCCGCCAGGTCGGACTTGAGAGCATCGAGGTCGCCGGCGCGAGCATCGTAGATGAGATCGTCGATTGCGTCGACGGTTAATGTGACCGGAGTTTTTGTGGACATTTTTGCCTCTTTACTTTTGAAATCACGTGGTTGTGATGATCTGTTCAAGGTCTGAGTGACGCTTGAATTGTGGGATTTTTGGGTATCTGGGGGAGTTTATTAGTGGTGGTTCTTTTGGAGATAGTGTGGTTTTTGGTGATGGTGGGGGGAGATGTTGTAGAGGTTCATATGGGTTTGATGCGCAAGAGGTGTCATGTAAATATCTCAGGGGAAAAAAATAAGAAATAGAAAAGCAAATAACTAGAAAATGACGGAAACTTGATTTCGAAGCCAAAATGCGGTTTGGACATTTTGTAGAGTTTCTATCATCTATCACGTCGCCGTCTTTTTTTTTTTTTTTTTTTTTTTTTGGGGATAGTATATCAACCCCTCAAGTCTTCAACACCCCACATATGCGTATATGGGAGGTATGAGTGCAATGCTTACACAGAGGTCTTAAGATATACAGGCCCCAGTGCATACAGAATAGGAAATCCACATACCTTGATTATATATTCTTGAGGGTGCTATACTCGATTTTGTGAAGCATCGGATGGTTGCTGAGAACTTTGATGCCGGGTCATGTGATCCGGTGGATCATTTGTCGGCATTTTCATAGCTACATCACTTATTTACTGTATAGTGCTCAGCGAGCAGTTACCCGAGGGATGGAGCAGATGAATATGTTACATTTATTGTAAGAAATTGAAGTACACGCTGCTCTATCATATGCGACCCATGAACTACAGTACAAACGCCCAAGCCCGTCCATATAAAACAAAAGGTATCTCAATGACAAGACATCGTCTGTGGATTGAATCCGGTCAATCGCGTAGCCATGCCCTTCGCTTTTCCTCCTTCTTCTCTCTCCGTTTCTCCTTGAACATTTTCAGTTCCTTTTTGGTGAGCTTTTTAGCGCTCCGCTCTGCCCGCAGGCTCCGTCCATCATGGCTATTGGCCGCAGCGTCCACATCAAAGAAGGCATTCATCTGCCGGTAGGATTTATTCTGATCATTATGGTTCTCGGGGTTCTGTGATGCATCCTGCCATCGCCCGGTGAACCGGTTGAACGCTCCAACCGCAGCGTAGTGATCCGTACCCGGAGCCACGGCAGATGTATCCTCGGGCGGCTGCTCATACTGCTGGGCGTACGGAGCCGTCGGATCGTAGTCACCGTGGATGGCAGGGTTATAGCCACCTACCACGGGCGCGGCCTTCTCCGTGGATGGAGCGCTGGCCTCTACGCCAGGAGGACCTGCTGGCTCCGCCGCCGCCTCCGGCACGCGCGGGTTATCCCACTGCGACACGCCCGTGTAGCGGTTATAGAAGTAGTACGCTCCAACGTTGGCATCCCAGACAGGTTCCCACCCATCGTCATCACCGGGAGGAGCCTCGTTGGGAAGCGGTGGTGGGACCTCTTCATCTGGTAATGGTGGCGCTGGAGCTTCTCCTTCCTCCTCTTGACCGTCCTCACGCTCAGAGGCGTTTTCTTTATTTACTTCTTCCTTTCCCTCGCGCTCTTTGCCTTTTTGTTGTTGTCTTTCCCTTGTGTCCTCCTTGGGCCTATCTGGTGCCTGTGTCTCTGTCCGGTCTCCTTCTGGGCTGTTTTCTTCCTGGGTCACTGGGTCATTTCGCCCCTCCGACGGGGATGCTGACGGATTGTCAGTTGCGTGTTTTGGGGGTGTCTCGGACATTTTTGATTAGCACTTCTTTTTCCCTAAAAAGAGTGTGCGTCAGAGCCGTGGCAGAAGTGCAGAGGATACTGCGGGTGGAGTGTGAATGATTGAATTGAATTATGCCGACGCCATATCGCGACCACGCTAGCCCATTTCCGGACTAGTCACCCTTTCCCCAGTATATCGAATCGAAGATGAACATCACGATCATAACAATATCTAGTATCTACCGGCGATCCTCACTTTTCAAGAACAAAACCAAGTAGAAACATTCATTTCAATCAAGCAATACTAGCAAAATAAAAATAAAGCACTCTTAGCCCCAGTAAAACCCCCACGTAAACAAAAACAGCCCACTAAGTAACTAGCCACTTCCAACTAAAACCCCCTCCCCCTTCAAAGCATCAACAGCCTCAGCAACCCACTCCTGACACCGTCTCAATGGCTCCTGCGGATACAACCTTCTCGCTCCCTGGAATTGCTTCTTGGGCACCGGCACGCCCTCACAAACCTCCAAGACGCGCCCGTACTCCGCAACCGCAACCACACCAAGCTTCTCCTTGCCACAGAACCCCGGGATCTCCTCCGGTGTCTGCTCTGTCCGGTGTTCAAAGACCATGCCTTCTTGGATGTTGCCTTTGACGTGGTAGATGTGGCCAGTGGAGGGGCCGTTCTCGTGAGTCTCGACGAAGAGGGCGTGGTGGTCTTGCGGGAGGCCGCTTTCGGCAAGGAGGTAGATCGGGTAGGTTGCCATTCTCTGGCTTCGTTCTTTTTGGTTTTTTCTGTTTTTACTCTTTTGGGTACTTCTAGATTCGTAGGGTGGGTTTTTGTGGTTTGGGGGGTTGGAATGATTTACCAAGTGTCTTTTTTTTTACTCCGTAGGAATGACAGGAAGGTAGTATTGAAGGCTGCTTTTGAATGGGTTTGGATGAAATTTCCGGCCGAGTTAGGCAGGTGTCAGATTTAACTTGAACCTTGAAGGCATTGGAACGCAACGGCTCAGGATAGGGCCGCCCGTCTTGAGTAAAACCGTTGGCTGTCATTTGGCACGTGCCAGGCGGTTCAATGCTACATTGAATAGTTACCTATACTAATGTGGTAGGACTTGAGAGCTTCTTTATTTTTTAGTAAAGAGGGCTATTTCAAGCATTTGCTAAGCTTATGTGGCTTTTTGGGGTGGTGGTGCTTGATTCTCAAGTTATATGTACAGTACAATTTTGATTTAGGTACGAAGTATATATATAGGATGTACATCACACTGGTAAACATATAATATAAAAAGCAGTAAAACTATGAACAGAACTGGAATAACAATGAATATGAGAACATGAATAGTTAATTGGGATAAGATATACTACTGCTGCTTTCAGGTAATTCTTTATATAATTTGATATATATCCGTCTTCCTATGTTACTATATCTACATCAAATTACTATGGGTGATATTCTATCAAGATTCAAGCCCAACCCAAAGGCAAAGGGAAAAGAAAAAGAGAGAGAGACAGTAACATACAGAAAGCGAGTAAAGAAATAAGATCTAGTGAGAATATTCCATTCATAATCTACTACATATACCCGTAACAGAAACACTTCTATAGTAGACTTCACGTGTATCCTGTCGGCCTGAGGCCATTTAACAGGCAAACAAATTCATGCCTGATTCAACCCAGGCATCCCCAGTCCCAACCACCCTTAACACTTTACAGTCACTCACCACAAGTGGCCCTCACGCCAGGTATATTAGCAAAAGTGAGGGCACAAAGTAATCTAACACACCGTGAGCGAGGGAAGAGGTTGACCCCGAATTCAGGATCGACCAAATCGCTGCTCAATCAAACCAAAACAAATCGAAAAAAAAAAAAAAAAATCACAGTTCGGCCCGACGCACGGGTTCATACCTTAGTCACAGAATGCGGATCCTTTTTCCCCCCCTGGAATCGAGAGACGGGATTTGCCTGTCTTGGAAATTGGGGCGGCAAGACAGAGAGTGACGATCAAACCCTGTGGCTGGAACTTGAAAGGTATTTTGCTGGGGTCCATTTAGTCAAGGGAGAGAGAGATATGCGCCTGGGGCCGCGTAAAAGATAAATGAAAAGCACCCATAATGTCGGTGTGGAAACTTAATGGCTATAGGAAATTATAACGATCGTGGTTTATTCTTGGGTTGAAGAATGTAACGTAAGCTGGTCGAGCGGTCTACATACTAGGCATCGGGGTTTAGTCGGGGATGCTGGTGAATCTCCATGTTCTCGAGGCAACCTTTGATCTTGCATTGATGCACCACGGCGGGTGTAATGCACGAGACGACATTAGCTTATGTAAGGAGCTTTACTGGTTTCGTTGTTTTCGTTATTGTCGGTGGACGGTCGGTGTTGGATAGAGTATGGAAACTTGGAAGACAGATTTTAGCGCTGGGCGAATGAACTAGAGAATATGGAGTACAAACAGACCGTTAGATGCTTCAGTTTATACGATGAAATAATCTTACTGGTTGGATCACGTATTTAATCTCGTTTCTACAGTAATATGATAGCAATTATACTAGTTATTCTATGTATCGTCACTTTGTATAATCCTATCAGAAGTATCAACAACATAATCAGCAGCACCTTTATGTTTAGAAGGATATATGGTAGCAGTTATTTTATACTTTGATGTTCAATCTGAACAGAATGGAATTTGCTTCTTTTACGGAAGGAGGATAATATTAAGAAGCTATATTGATGTATGTGATTATTCTGTATAGTTATACTCCAACGTATAGCCGTTGATGTATCCCCCAGGATATATATATATTCTCATGTCACTAATAATACTAACTGCACAACCAATCTATATACCTTATTCAAAATAAGATGTATTATTCCGGATACAATCGTACCTCATACACTACTTACATCAAGTTTACAGCAACTTCCTCATAATGGTTGCGCTGGCAAGTCATAGACTCATAGTCTTACTAGAGGTCTATGGCGTGGTCACCATACTACCTACTAGTACTCGAAACGCATCGACAGCCTCAGGAACACAAGCTCGGGCATGCTTATTGGCCAGCAAGAAACCCAAAGCCAGCAACGGCCATATAGTAGTAGTTACAGGTACAATCTCGTGACCTAACCAGCTCTTACCCAATACGGGCACCAGACCCAATTAGGTAACATCAGAAGTGGGAATGAGACATTCCAGTCATTCCCTTTTCATAATTCCGAAATGAGTGTCTGAGTGACAGTAGGTTGACCATCGCGAGGCCGTGTATCATTAAACAATGTCTGAGTCGGGTTAACTCGGCGGAATCTCTATGAAAGACACAGAAAAATAAACTTAGAACGTGCGGTATTAGAGTTCCTAATAGTCGACCAGCAGATAGTAGGTATTGAAACCAGAGCTTATGGAAGTTCCTTGATTGCGGAAATTATACAGCAACTAGTGCGGGAGCCCCTTGCCTGTACCCCTTGCCCACATGGGCGTTGAGGAGTAGGTGAGCCGGGGATACCGGAAGGGGGAACCAATGAATTTGAGGATCTTTGTAGCCCAGATCACGCCCTGCAAACGCCCTGCAACTTTACCAGCTAGTTTAATTTTCGGGTATGTCTATCGCATACCGCACGTGCCCTATCGAAAGATAGCTACAGGCCTACGGTACGAGGTATACCATCACTTGGTCATGAGATGGGGGGTTACCAAGTACTGTGAGCGTTGTGCCTCGTCCAGATTGCCTTCAAGATTGCCTTGTGTCAATGTCATGTGTCATTGGTAACCATATTTTCCTGGCTTCGAAGTTTACCTTGATGTAACGTGAACGGCTCGCTCGAGGGGGATCTACAGGTTGCATAGCGTTCCACGGGTTCAAGACAGGAGGAATGAGACACGGTCGTGCATGCAACGCACGATGAAAGCTCTGTCCTGCACGGCTGTGGTATGCTGCAGGATTGGCATCCTGCTACCCAAGCAAGCATAGGGCAATTGTTTGGTTGATCCATACCGATGACTGAGGGAGACGTCTTCGGGCCCAAGGATCTATCCTACGACAGGGGAAACAGTGTCATAGATGGGGGCCATGCCTTGCGTGTTGCATTCCTGGAGTGGCAACAAGCCTCACTTTCCTTCGAAAACATAGTTGTCGAGGGCTAAGTAGAGCCTTGAAGGTAGCTCCCAGACCACCAGATTTGTCTATATAAGGAGTCGTCTTCCCCGACAAAATCTGTTCTTCATCAACACAACCAATTCACTCTCATTCACTCTTCACAGTTCAGTCTTCTCTAGACAAACTTCTCTCTTTTACAAACTTCTCCGAGTCTTCTCTCGTTCAAAACCAAAACCACCGTCACAATGCAGTTCTCCGTCGCCACCATTCTTGCTCTGGCTACCGCCGTTGCAGCTCTTCCTCCTGCCGCTGGCACTGGCGCTGGCCAGGAAGTTGGACACGCCAAGAATGAGTACAACCTCCCTAAGGAGTTGACCACCAAGCAGGCCGCCGAAAAGTGTGGTAGCAATGCTGAGCTTAAGTGCTGCAACAAGAAAGTCAAGACTGGTGACTTCACCAAGGTCGAGGAGGGTCTCCTCAACGGTCTCCTTGACAGCCTTGCCGGTGGTGGCCAGGGCTCTGAGGGTCTTGCCCTCTTGGACCAGTGCACAAACATCCCTGTCAACGTTCTGGCTCGTGAGTATCTCCCGACACGGGCTATGGTCCATAGTATATTAACCGGTCTCAGTTCCCATTATCCAGCCTCAGAAGCAGTGCAACCAGCCCATTTCTTGCTGCCAGAACACCAAGTCCAGCGCCGTAAGTACTCTTATCATGCAGCCTACACGACATTCACTAACCCGCACAGGATGGCGACCTCATTGGTATTGGCCTTCCTTGCATCGCTATCAGCTCTCTCATGTAAGCGTTGATATCTGCGAAATTGAGAGCTCGAGTGTGGCATGGATTACCGATATAAAGTATTCCCAAAGTGTCCTTGTCAGTGTCTTGCACTGGCATCTCGTGTTGTGGAACACTCGCATGGAGAAGACTGTTCTGTTTCCTTTCTGAATTATCCTGTGCAGCCTGCTCCAGTATTTCCACTGGAAATAGCTTATGGCTAGCCGTCTTAATAAATAGATTTTGCATTAGCTTCCAACTTCTCTGCTTTTACTGTAGTATCGTAGTTTATCATTTGGTTTAGTAATGATTCTTTAAGCACGCTCTCCATCTCCTTCACACCTCTGTTCATTATATCGCTTCTAAACCTTGGTAATCCCACTGATTTAAGTAGCATGCATTATATCCTTGACGGAACATTGCTCCTCTAGTCGTATTATTCATAAGTATAACTTTCATACGCCGCTTTCCTCAAAGAACTCCTTATTCACGATCCCTTCATCACCCAAATTGAGTAGCAAATTAAGTAGACTACTTGTATAGTAGCGTCCTTCAGCCTAGACGGATGGTGGCACTTAGACTCTAACATTTGCAGACGAGATGAAAGAGCCAGCCTATTTCTTAAAGTGAAACACTCCAATGAATTTATGCGCTGAAATTTCCTCCAATCGTTCCGGCATAACCCCAAATGTGTGAATACTGAAGGCTCAACAATGCTCTACAACTTCTTGTCGGCTTCACGGCCGTTTGATGTATCAGTGTCGAGTTTGTCGCAACATAGAGTCCTCTCTAATTGATCTAATTTACCACAAACTTATCATCCTCATGGCTCTGACACTACACATAGTTCGTGAGCAATACTAACAGTCTACCCAAGTTTTAATACCCGCTACGGTTCCAAGAATTATCAATGACCACTATGTTCTTTCACTTGAATATGATACTATTCATACATAAAACATCGTCGAAAAGAAAGATGAACACACCTATATCATACACCACGCCACACCGAAAACAAAATCACCTGTACAAGAACCCCCACAATAGTATACAAATCAAGAAATTCCAGTCCAAAACCTCCTTATAAAGGAAACAAAACCCCCCGATATCGACCAAGTACACCAAAGAAAAAACCCCGAACCCCAAACGCCATTCCTAGCAAAAAAGAAGCTTCTCCTTATCGTTAGCCGTAGCTGATGCTATCATCGTCTCGTCCGCTGATTTGCGGTTTCCAAACCGACCACCGCGAAGCATCACCGCGGCCATCCTTCGTTCTTTCTTCAGATTAGCGGGTTCATCTTCCGTCATCGTGGCCGAGGACACAGATGAAGAGAGTGATGCCACTGAGCCGCGCGTGCGAAGCGGCGATTTGGGCGGGATGCTGGGGAGTCGGATGCTAGATAGCTTGGGCGCCGACGCCGCAGTAGCCTGCAGGAGGTTGATGATTTCGACGAGAGATTTGCGCCGACTGACCCGCCAGGCTGGCATGCCTTTTTCGTCTTTGGCTGGGATTGTTGTGTCCGGTTCTTGGTCGGGTGCTTTTATCTTCGATTCGGTCTCTGTGTCGGTTTCTTCGGGGATGTCTTCGATCATCCGACTCCTGACTTCGGGCCCCTTGACGGTATTTTTCCTTTGCGGTCTCTCGGGGATGCAGTGCGGTTGTCGGTCGTCTTTCTTGTCATGATCATCCCCTTTCTCTTCATCCTGTTCACCTTCCTCATCCTTGAAATCTCTTTCCACACCTTCAAACCCAGTGTCCCCCTCAACAGCAACAATAGTCTCCTCAGACACCTTCACAGGTGTCTCAACCACATTCCCCCTATAACCACTCCCACACCGAGACCCGGGTCTCCCCTCATCACCTTCATCCTTCTCCACAATCCGGATAGAAGGCTTTTTCACCAAATCGGGATTGACCCCGGGGGGACATGAATAAGGGACAGGGTCCTTAGGCGGCACAGCCGGCGGGGTATCACGATCATGTTTCTGCTTCTGTCTCTGCCTCCGTCGACCCTGAAGGCAGGATCTGAAGATCTTAGAGAAGAAACTCATTGTTTCCTTTTCTGTTCTCCCAGCTTGTAAACTTCGTCTGGACTTGAACGACAGCGTTCGTCACAGGCGATGAGGGGTCAATCGAGGGGTTTTATAAGACTATCGATAAAGCGCTGTGTTTTGTTTGGTTTTGTTCGTTTTGGGCTATATTGATTGCGGGGGGTGGAGGGTTTTTTTTTTATTTTCTTTCCCTGAACACACCCCAGGTGGGGAATGTGATATCGGGATAGTCGAGGTGCGTTGGTTCTTGCAGGATGTTTACCTGACCTATGCAGTTGGGGATGTATACCAAATACTTTTTACTCCCTGTTGCATCGGATAGAGGGAGTAGTTTGCTTGGTGTATAGTGAGTGAACGAGGGATGGTGATCTTAGAGTAGAGGGAGGGGTTATATGCGTTGCCCTTGTTACTACTATCTAGCAGTTTTTACTTTGGTTCCTGGTTCCTGGTTCCTGGATTCGGCTTTCTATGCTTATTGTGCAGTTCTTCTGGGGGTTGAGTTTGGACTAAAACGTAAGGAGGGCAGGGTAGCAGGTGGAATGGGATGTAAGGATGCAGTTCGTGTTAAGGCTGTTGTGTTGCTAGATAGTAGTATATCTTTTTTTTTTTTACTTCCGTGGGGGAAAAGGATGGGCTTGATTGGTAAGTGTGACGGTGTGTGGACGGGAGTTTGTCTACATGTGAGGTTATTATGGTGATTGCAGGGGCTGATCTTAATATTGATTTCATGTATCCTGGACTTTCGGGTGAGAGTAAGGGAGGGTTGGAGGTTGTGAGTGTTGTACATACAAACATGTTGAATGTTGAGGTGTTTTGCGGGTTAGGGCTAATTTCTGAATCTTGGGGTCGGGCTCGTGAGAGCCCATTTTCGTGCAGCGAACGTGTACGATTTCTGGGGATTTTTTTTTTTTTAATCAATACTCCGACTTCGTGGTTGTCGGGGGTTATTTTTTGTTTTTTGTTGAATTTTTGGCTTTGTTTATTTCTTTCCTTTCTTTTTTTGGGGGGGCTGTGGCTTTCTGCTTATTTCAAGGAAACCCCCTTGGGCTGCAAGGGATGGCTCTACTATTTGTCATGCTCTAACTGTCCATGTCATCATTGCATTGCCGTAGTATCACTACTAGTAGTTCTATGCCTTACATACAAAAGCTCTGTGGCCAGTAACAAAAAGTATCGAAGAAAATCTGTATGAACAAAATAAACAGCCACTTAGAGCTTGCTCTGCGGCGTTGCCGTGTACAACGACTGGTTCCGCTGCATCGATTCCAGGGCCTCCTTCTCAATGCGCTGGAGCAGCTGTGCACAGGTGGGAATATCATGGATCAAGCCGATAACCTGACCAGCGGTCCAGACCTAAAATGGAACGGTTAGCAAGGATTCGGCACGTTTCCCCGGGACTACTACTGAAGGGAGAGGGAGAGAGAGAAAGGCGAAGCAAGAAAAGGATACACATACTCCGAAATCGACGTCACCATTCAAGAAGACCTCCCTACCCCTCTTGCCACTGACGAACGGGGCAACATCGCTGAACTCTCCAGACTTGCTTTCCTTCTCCACCTTGAGCGCCTCCTTCGAGACCTTATTGGCGAACAGCCGGGTTGTGTTCTTCCACCGTCTCAGCACCAGAGCGGTGTCTGTCTCCTCGGCCTTCACGATGGCCTCCTTCACGTTGTGGTGGATGGGGGCCTCAAGTGTGCACATGAACCGCGTGCCCATGTTAATACCTTCGGCGCCCAGCGACAGGGCCGCGGCCAAGCCGTATCCGTCTGCAAATCCGCCCGATGCGATGAAGGGCACACCCAGATCCTGACGGGCGCGGTTGAGAAGGATGAAGTTGGTAATGTCGTGTTCGCCGACGTGACCAGCACACTCGAAACCGTCGATGGACAGGAAGTCAACGCCCAGCTTGACGGCCGATTTGGCGTGACGGATGGTCGTGCACTTGTGCAGGATAATGGTGTTGGCCTTCTTCAGCTGGGTAATCACCGGACCGGGGTTGTTTCCGGCCGTCTCGACAATCTTGACACCCTCATCGATGATCACCTGGGCGTAGGCAGCGTAGTCTGGGGGCACGAGGGCGGGCAGGAGAGTCAGGTTGACACCGAAGGGCTTCTTGGTCATGGACCGACATTTCCGGATCTCTTTGCGGAGGTCTTCAGGGGTTGGTTGGGTAAGGGCAGTGAGCTGGATAGTCAGCGATATTGTCTTTATTTGCTTTTGCATATGATCTGATGTATACGTACGATTCCAAGGCCGCCAGCGTTGCTGACCGCTGCTGCGAGTTCAGCGTATCCAACCCATTGCATACCACCCTGGACGACAGGAACTGTGGGCGATTAGTTAGGCACCAATATATCCGGGGATGTAAATCTAGGTACCTGTGATGCCTAGCTTTCTTGTTAGTGCAGTGTTGAAGCCCATCTTGTTCCTGTTCTAAGCTGTATGTAACCGAGATTGAGCGTATGTACTTCTAGATAGCGGCGAATTGGACGGTGGCTCCAATAACGGATATGAACAGAAAATGTATAATCTATCGATGAAGGGTATCACGAACAACAGGCTATTAAAAGAGTGGCCTTCGGATCAGCAAAAGGAATGCGACTCCTTTGTACCCGCGGAGATTCTGCCGTGGGGAAGAGTTACCGAGGTTCGTGGCCGACCGACGGTCGGGTCGGCGAGATTACTATTCAGGACGGCCCTGGGGTAGAACAAGGGTGCGGGGGAGTGCCGCAGGTTGATAGCTGGGGAAATAATTCCTTAATGATCGATGACATGGCAGCATATCTGCATAAAATAGAGATCTTGCGAAACTCGTTCTCATCGCGTTCATTGCATGCTAGGTTGTGGCCAATGTCATCTCCGCATGTGATACGCGGTGATTTTATAAATGATAATACGTAGCACATGATTCCCTTTGCCACAAACCCCATGACCAGCCATTCTCTCTGCGGTTGGCGAACAAAGTGCTTGTCCCTACGAGACCATATCTCTAACATCAAATAGACACCCGTAGCCCCGAAAAATATGTATATAGATTCCTTTATGGCTGGAGGAATAAAAACGCCATCAATGCATATAGGTATAAGCGAATATAACCAAAAATACCCTAACCCTTTTATTTTGCTCCCATTTGGCTGGCCAGCCACTGCTCGTGCAGCTTCTTCTGTCTCTCCCAGTCTTTCCGAAGCTTCTTACCCCGGCTCTTAGCGATCTCCTCGCCGGCCGCATCGCGGGTGGGGAGACCTTCGTCATCCCACGCGCTATACTCATTTGTCCGGAACATCTCCAGGTGGCTAAGCTTGCCCTTCTGCAACCTTTCCAAGGCTTCCTTTTCCTTCTTCTCCTTTTCGAGCTGCTTTTGCTGTGCCCGCTTGGCCTTCTCTTCCCGAGCCTGGATCAACTCACGTGTCACCGGGCGAACGAGTGCAGGCAAGTTGTCTCGATCTTCGAGATACACGCCGACTTCGAACAAATCCATATCGCGAACACGATCGCAGAGTGCCAAAACCTCCTTGCTAATGTTAGTCGATTCCTCGAGTGACGACAATTTGTTGCGGAAATTGCTCAAGACGTCAGCATAAGGCTTCGTTGACTCAGTGACTTCTTGGTCGGGAAGAGCTTCACGATCGACGATCTCAGCAATGACCTTGGCGTTGACTCCTTCCTTCGCCCGTGCGGCTTGTCGCAGAGAGTCACGCATGGATGACAATGGGTGGAGGAAGGGCTTGGCCTCTTCTGGGACGTCAATACCAGACCATCCGATTTCTTGGCTGTCGGCAGCAGCGTTGCCATTGAGGCCAAAGATATTGACCATGGAGGTCACCCACCGGGCCACAGCCTCAACGTCCTTGGGATCCACAGTCGACTTGTCGGCGCTGTTGTATTTCGTGATAAGCTCAGAGATGGCATACATGGCTCCCGGGGTGTTGAACGAGTCGCACAGGTGCTCATAGACAGCCTTCTGGGCATCTGCCAAAGCAGTGGCGAGAGTATCATCCGTACTGGAGCCTTGTAGGGCAGCAGGGTCCTTCATCTTGATGAAAAAATTGTTCACCTTCTCCTCCCACGAGCTACCAGCGCTGACAAGGTCATCGGTGATTTCGACACCATCCTTCCAGCCGCCCAGCAGGAACACAATTCTCAAGCTCCGTGGGGTCCACTCCTTCCTTTCCAATGCTTCACGAATGGTAGTGAAGTTCTTAAGAGATTTGGACATCTTAGAGCCCTGAATGGACAGGTGTCCCATGTGGAAGAAATAGTTAACCCACTGTTCGTCGTGTGAATGGCTATGGCTGTCCGCCCAGTATGCCTCGCTTTGCGCAAGTTCGTTGTCATGGTGAGGGAACGCAAGGTCGACACCACCCGAATGGATGTCCATCTGCTTGCCTAACCTTGCGGAAGCCATGGCAGAGCACTCAATATGCCATCCAGGTCTTCCTCGACCCCAGGAACTCGCCCAGCTAGGCTCACCAGGCTTCGAAGCCTTCCAAAGGGCGAAATCAGATGCAGATCGTTTATCTGTAGCCTTCTTTGTCAAGGAGCCTTCACCTTCAGCCAAAAGCTTGCTATCCGAACGGTTCCAGGGCTCCAGCCTGGCGTATGGGTGGCCAGCAGCCTCGAAAGCTTCAATATCAAAGTAGACAGAGCCATCATCCGTAACGTAGCCGAATTTATTCTTCACGATTTTCTCCACGAAATCAGCAATCTCTGCACCATACTCAGTTACTCGAGTAATTTCGTTGGGGTCGAGGACGTTCAGATCCCGCATATCCTTCATGAACCGCTCCTCATATCTCTTGGTCAACTTGGTGAATATGCCATGGTCGTCTGCATTGATCGAGGTTCCCCTCAATGAATCCAGGTACGGCAGAAGGAGATCTTGAGCTTCCGTGTAGAACTTCTCCGCAAAGCCTTTAGGCTGCTCGCCAGAGCGTTCCGCCTCCGCGATCACCTTTGCTGCTGAAGCAACAGTTTTAATGTGCATTTTAGCCTTCGCTTCATCGTCACCGGCCTTCTCATTGCCTGGTAGGGGTCCTCCATTCAGCACAACGGCGTAGGTCTTCTCTACTTCATCCTTATATTGGGACGCGGGCAGATCTGGGCTCAGTAATGGCAGGTTCTTCTTGAGGTATGCAGTGTACGCTTTTTTGGCAACATCTAAGACTTCGACATCGATCGTAGGGTGCTCGGAAGTGAACTCCGTGAATAAATGCTGTTGCCGGGCTCTAAGGATAATCTGTGACTCATCAGCGTCGCATTCCACCATGTCGTAAAGGCAGCCTGGATCGCAAAGGATACAGTTCATAGCGTACCTTGTCATCAACGTCTGTGATATTCATGACAAAATTCACGTCGAACTTGAAGTAGTCACGCATGATACGCCGAATGATATCAGTGCTAACATAGTTTCTAGCATGGCCCAAATGGGCGTCGTCGTAGACAGTCGGTCCGCACGCATACCAAGAAACTTTCTTGCCGTCCTTATCGATGGGGATAAAGGGGTTCTTCGAGCGTGTTAACGAGTTCCAAACTTTCAAAGGAGGCAGGCTCTTTTCGGCCTCAGGGTGGAGGGGTGGCTGCTGCCATTGCGGTTGTTGGCGCGCGGTGGCCATAGATCTGGATCTGGAGAGAAGGACCACGGGGTAAAAGAGCGACAATCGTTGTTTCGACCGATTAGTGAGGAAATGGGAGACCAGGCGAGGAAGTCGGTGAGAGGTGAGGGGCATCAGGAACGGAGCTACAAAAAGAGGGACAAATAATCCAAACTACGGGAGGGGTCACTGCCTGTAGGCCAGCCTGACAACCAACCTGAGTCAAGCATTCAATGGATGTGTCAGAGGATCATCAACCAATAAAAAGTTGGGTTTTCAATGCGGTGGGAGCATCGCCCTAATCTATTAGCCCTGAGCCCTAACGGCTGTCCCAGTCAGGTCTAGATTGGATCTTCAGTGACTTTTGCCCCAGAATGATAGAAGCTTTTGGAGCTCGTCCGAGATTTTGCGATTGCGAAAAGAATATTTGAAAGCGGCAACACCACACGCAGCCGCAATGCCTTCCCCCTTCTTAACCCCCGGCTCTCAGTCGCAGCTCGACAGTCTTGCACTTCTTCAACTCCGCAGAGATCAGACGATCCCGACGATTCTCCAACTCCATGACGAAAAGAACGCAGGGTATAAGGAAGGAAAAGTCACCAACACCCGCTTCGGCTCATTTCCGCATAGCACTCTTTGCGATCAACCATGGGGCTCCCAGATTATCGCATCCAAGGTGGACACGGGATCCCGGGGCCGCACACAATCCAAGAAGTTGAAGCGGAAAGCGGACGAGCTGGATTCGTCCACCCAGGCCGAAGATAAACCTTCTCCGCAGACCCCAGTAGCCGCCTCCAGCGGTTTCCTTCACCTTCTTTACCCAACACCGGAATTATGGACCGCGTCCCTTCCGCATCGTACTCAAGTCGTTTACACACCGGATTACAGCTACATCCTCCATCGGTTACGCGCGCGCCCGGGAAGCACCGTAATTGAAGCGGGAGCTGGAAGTGGCTCTTTCACACATGCCTCCGTACGAGCTGTGTTCAATGGATATCCTTCAGATGATCAATCGACGAAAAAGAGAAGACTTGGTAAGGTCTGCAGCTTTGAGTTCCACGCGCAGCGTGCGGAGAAGATTCGCGTGGAGGTGAACGAGCACGGACTCGATGGGCTAGTGGAGGTAACACACCGTGATGTCTATGAGGATGGCTTCCTCCTCGGGGACCCGAAGACGGGCGAGTCCCCGAAGGCGAATGCGATCTTCCTTGATCTGCCTGCTCCTTGGCTAGCTCTTAAGCATCTCGTTCGCAACCCACCCGAGGGCACGGAATCACCGCTTGATCCTACATCCCCAGTCTATATATGTACATTCTCTCCTTGTCTTGAACAGGTACAGCGCACTATCAGCACACTCCGCCAATTGGGCTGGCTGGGGATCTCAATGGTGGAAGTCAACAACCGCAGAATCGAGGCCAAGCGAGAACGAGTTGGATTAGATTACGAGAATATTCGCGGAACAGTCGTCTTCCCCAAGTCCGTTGACGAAGCGGTTGAGAGAACGCGCTCTCTTGAGGAACGTTCCCAGTTGTTCCGTGCAACCCAGAATCAAAGTGACGGCGACAGTACCCCTGCCCCTAAAACTGATACCGATACGCCCGCTCGCCAGCAAGGATCTGAGGTCCCAGTATATAAACAAGGTCGTATGATGACCAGGTCAGAACTAGACCTTAAGAATCATACATCCTACCTTGTCTTTGCTGTTTTGCCTCGAGAATGGACGGAGGAGGATGAGAAGCGCTGCCGTGAGAAATGGCCGTCAAACCGGGTACAGGAGCCGCAGGGGCCACAAAAGAGCAAGAAGCAACTGAAAAGAGAAGCAAAGGAGCAACGAGATCTGCAAAGGAAAGAGCAAAGTCAACTGGAGACGGAGTCCCAAAAAGAATAGAGGGTACCAGACCTCTGTTACTAGAACCATGATTTTGGGTGCTGTATTATGTTCTGTCTTGAGTAAATATTCTTACTTCGCCGATATCCCATGCTAATCATGGGTCAGAACCAGATTTGCAGTCATATCTGACAAGTCAACAAAGAATACTAATGACGGGTTGAGGGTCTTTTTCCAAGGAATATATATACACAATTGACCCCTGTTTCAGAGAAAGGGAAACAAAAGCCTTCATTTCATGACACGTGTAAAGTCACCTATGTACAATATGGATCTATGACTAATCCTACGCAGTTCTATTCCATAGCATAGAAATAGCGGAGCGGAAATCCGAACAATAGTGGGTATGGCGTTAAAGTAGCACATTGTTCTAGTCAGCTAGAACAGTAAATACGAGGTTGATTCTTATAGATTATTCTCTGCCTTGAATTTATCCCATGCCTCATTCAGCGTGCCAAACACTGCACCAGCGATCATTCGCTGCTCCGTCGTGGCATTGGTAGAAATCTGTATCAATCATTAGCTGCTGTGATATAGTATCCTTGGGAAGCAGACGTACCTTATCTGGGTGCACCTTTGCAATCCCCTTCATATACTGCACCTTGACCTTGTTCGGCATAATCAGTTCTGACATGTTGATCTTTTTCCATCCAGCCTCCGGCCACAGAACAGTGTCCAAACTGCCCAAAAGCGCTCGTAGATTGTCCTGTTTGCCGTTCTTCCAGGCAGCTAGTCGAGCATCCACACTTTCTGTGAGAGCAAATTTCTCTTCATCGGCACGCTCAGCAGCTTTGTTGGCTTCTCGCAACCGACTAACAGCGGCGGAGTTCGCAGATGAAGAACTGCCACCTTGCAAGTCATCAAGCGCAGATTTCTTAGGTGCAGGAGCAGGCGGCCGCCTAGCAGGGGCTGAAGGTTTCGAAACAGGCTTGCTAATACCGGCAGCTTTCTCACATCGGTTGCGGCCTTGAATACTGGTGCTACCACCGTGGCCGTTCTCAACTGCCTGTTTCCACGCCTGTGCAGCATCTGCCCATCGCTCTAATTGCTCTAGGGCCTCGGCCTTACGCATCAAGGCTTTACCGAAGAAATCCTTCATCGGTTTACTGGGTTCACCACTTCCGATTTCGATAATCTCGGCCTCGCCTTTCGAAGGGCCAATCACATCCAGAATAGTGTCTGCATCGCCAATTGCCACCTTAGGCTCACCAACCTTCAGTGCTGTCATGGCACGGTTGCTGCGGATGATGATAGCAAGGGGATACTTGTCCGGCAGCATCGACAGAGCTGCGGAAAAGGCCTCGTGGGCAGCTGCATAATCACCTCGCTTATAAGCTTCAGCCGCTTTCGTCCGATGGCGATGCGTGGATGCAAGAGCTTCCTGAGATACTTGAGGAATGACTCGGGGCGGAGCTTTTGGCCTCGCAGGCAGAGGTTTAGATGTAACAGCTGGCCGCGTGGGCTGAGCTGGGGAGGGTGACGGTCTAGGACGCTCGGCAGGCTGTGGAGCTGGAGATTCGAATAAGTTAACGTTCTGCGCAGGGGCTGGAGATTGTGCGGTTGGCCGTTTTCTTCTCGCTGGGCTAACATATGCTTGTGCTGACTGTTCTTCTACTGCAGATTTAGTCAATCGAGCTCTGGGATCTTTCATCGGACTTGGCTGCTGTTGTCGCATAAAGGCAGGCTGCTGCATATTTCTGTCACCAACTGGAGAAGGCTGGCTTTGATAGTTACTGCCGAGGGCGCGAGGTGGGGGTACATCGTTGGACCTTGTCGGTTTGCGTGAAACACGAGGATCTACACCGGTTTCGAGGAGAAGAGCTTCGTCAGTGAATCCAGCTGGCTGCTTCTGAGACTGATCAGGAGTGCGCCGGCGTTCCCTAGGTAAGGATTCCTCGCGGGAAGACGGATCTCTTAGCCACCGGGGCTGGTTCGGATCTTGATCTGTGTTCAAGTCATTAACGACTTGTTGAACCTTCTTGCTACCAGTCTTCCACAGCGAGTTTGCCGTTTTCAACAAGTTATTGCCGAAGGCAGCGGCAATCTGCGACGGATCCTTGTCTGCTGTCGAAGGTGACCGATTATCCTCGCGGCGCCTTGAAGAGTGGGTTCGCTCCTGTTGCATCCACGATGGCATATCGCGATCCGACCTCTCAGCACGATCTCTGCTCCGGCTCTCATGGCTCGGATAGCGTTCTTGAACCGCTGGTCCATTCCTAGACTTTTGCCGAGATTCTTCGTGTGCCTGCGTGAGAAGTAATGAGACCGCAGCTTGAACATCAGTTCCAGATGACGTCATGCGTAGAGCTTGGCTAGCTTTATCGGCAGGAAATCCCATATCAACGAGCTCCGCAATTGCTCGGTCAATCCCATTTGACGGCTTTGGAGATGGAGTAGGGTCTGCGCGCTCCGGAGTTGGAGGCTTCGCTGGTGGTTCTGGTCTGCGAACTTCAGAAACGGGCTTACCCAGTAAGCCCAGGAAATCATCATCGTCAGTCTGTGCAGGTTGCGGCGGGGGAGGATCTGTTTTAGGTTTCAATTGGTTAAGGCCAAAAGGGTCATCATCGTCATCCATGAACGACATTCCAGAGGCCTGCAGCGCCGGAGAGGATCCATTGGGGATGGGTTGCGACGCCCTGGCGTCTACCCGTGGGGACGGGCTTGGACTAGGTACGGGGAAGTGAGTCGACGCATCAACAGGTGCCGAAGCGTCAAAAGCTGCAAGAAGATCATCTTCATCGGCGGACTGCGCTTTTTGCTGAGTAGAGGTCATGCCAATTGCAGCCAGTTTGTTGCCACCCTTCTCGAGGTTATCCCAGAACTGAGCATTTTGCGCCCCATATTGTGTTTCGAACCGAGATCGGTTCTCCGCCTCTTTCTTGGCTTTCTCTTCTTGTAGCCTCTTCTGCTGCTCGATAAGGGAAAGGTTCTTATTTGGGTTAGACGAATTGAAAGACACTAGATTCGCGAAGCTGTCCTTGTCCGGTGTCGCAGACTTGGAGGGCGGGTTTGACGCCCCGGAGGAGGCAGAAAGAGGAGTAGATCGGCCGGAGATGTCATTGCGCCTCACATTCGGAAACAAGAGGCCAGAGCCCATAGGTGGGGGTTTACGGGGGTCATTGGATGAAGTGGAATTCCAGTTCAGACCGCTCAGATCGTCCATGGCGGTGGTCAATTTAGTGCGAAAAAGAAGGTGTCTGGGAGGACTGAATTAGGATAGAGGTCGGGGGAGATAAGTGGTTCCATGGTCTAGCCTCACCATCAACGACCGAGTGAGCTGATCCTGTTCGTGTGATAGAACGTCTGGTGTATAGAACATCCGGATATATTCACAAAGCAAGCATAAATCAAGAACTGACCACTTGGCACACTGTATTACAGAAAATGTTCTGAGACAAGTGTTTTGACTTCCCCTGGAGATCGAGGGCCGCGGCCGTCATTGTGGCTGAGCAGCTAGTGGGGTGTGGCTGATGTCGTTCAAACGTGACTAAGTGGCACGTGTTGCCAAATACAGCAACTTCTGGGCCCGTCGGGCATCTACTTTGTCAACAACCTTTTACCAAACGGACAGACTAGCTGTTTTCTCATTGATATCTTTCGCCACTCCGAATATGTTTAGGGACACGAAGGCGCTGCATATGGAGGGGCTAGGAGTGGGGCATGTAGTAGTACCAGAGACAAAGATAGCCCTTTGTTATATCCGAATTGCGTCGAAGGATCTCCTCCACTCATGACCACGCCTACTCTGTACTGTAGAGTACTAGAGCTACGTAGCAGCTGGTGGACTAGTTGCCTTGCCGTACCCCACTTTTAGTTGCTTCCTGGGGAGCTCGGACAGTCCAGTGGAGGCGTCGCTGCGATAATTGCCAATTTGCGAGAGAGGTAGATGCAGAAGCAAAGGTCGTGCCGTTCTCCATCGGGAGACAGTAGGGCGCTGCGGTATTTTGAGCTTTGGCGAATAAAGTTACGTATAGTGAAATGTCTTACGCCGTTAGGGCCGCAAATTACCTGGCAATATCTCGAGAATCATACAGGTCCTCAGGCTTTTTGCTCAACCGGCTCTAATGGTAGGTTGTGGCTTGAAAAGTTGTCCATGCAGTATTTATAATGCAATGCTTTATTAAGCTAAGACTTATGTGATATGGACATGCAAGCTACTTCAACAAACATAATCATTGAGTTTCTTGAAGCAGTGAATAATGAAAGCTGAACGTTTGGTAAAGGCATAAGCTAAGTGTTGAGTAACCTTGATGTGGCATCAACCGCTTATTTCTTCCCTTTGTATCCTATGTAACTCGCATTGCTAGCCCAAGTTCATTGTGTTAGAAACTCAAAGGCTGGACTGTTATTTGACTCCCCATCCTTGGATGAACTCACTCCTGACGAGGAATATGATCGTGGAATTATAAGACTAGAGATAATTAATACCTAACAAAGCACAATGATGGTACCACAAGCCATCAATAATCTCTCATTATAGTGTACGTTAGTTACATGCTATTAGCTAGATAATATGCCAGAGCTGCTTTCTGGCCTACAACGCTATCCATAACCCAGCAGGTGGGATTCGAGAAACAACCTATATACCATCGGCTCTTGGTGGATACTATTCTAGAAGCACTCAATATAAAACAACCATCATGGCTATTCTTGAAGTTCTCCTTAGCAAGGGCGACTTATTAGGGATGACGATGCCAATCTCGAGATGCTGCCAGAGATATTGAATCATCAGAGGACTCCAACCTCTAGATCTTCGTTCATATAGGACAAGACAAGCTCATTCATTGAGCCTTCTTACAAAAGGCATCAGGCTTACCTCCATAAGCAACACGCTGCACAGCATGCAAGATTGGTCTGGAAAGGCTCGTGCGCAAATAGGCAAAATAGACACAACTCGCGCCACTCCGACATTATACATTGGCATGCATGGTACGTGACTCTACATCACGATTAGCATGTCTGAAATCGCAGGGCAAGATGAGGTCTCGAAACTCGATCTGGAGTTGCTTTCCTCTCATGTTGGCCCCCGTCCTGATTAGAGCGCCAGCATGAGACACAATCATAACAAAACTCGTAGCCCTTTGTCCACTTCAAGAGAATATGGGTGAGGAGAAGCATGACAGGCCCCATGGGGTTGTCTAGTCTACCGTTGTCTTTAGTTGGGATTAGCCTGGAAGGGCTACCTGGCTAGAAGTAGAACACATCTGCCGGGAAGTTCAAGAGAAGGAGCGGCCCCCAGCTGAAGTGATTGCGCTTCGCCGATAGTCCTTGAAGCCACTTGACAAACCGGGTAGTGGTAAGAAAGACATGGAAAACTCTAATACTTAAGAATTGAGAAAGGAAACAGCAAGGTACGGAACCATACGCGCTGCACTATGAGCATGCTTGGTATCTAATACAGATCCTCTACTTAACTAAAACCCGACCAACAAAGACGATGTAAGTTACACGGCATGCAGAGTAAGAATGGGTTACAGATAGATTAAGTGACAGCCCGCCGAGTTACTTGGAATGCTCGCCTGTCACGGCTGTCATGAAGACCAACCCGACCAATCAGAACCAGGCGGTCATGTGTATGTCATGTGACCACTAACGGTTGGTTGCCAGGGATCACCAGGTAATTTGCCGGCAGGGTTAATACAGCCTGGAAGGATCACGGAGTACTCCGTACGCTTGCTTCGGTTCCTCCGCACTCAATCCGTGGCATGCATCGAGAGACTAGAAAGGGTTGTGTGTCCGGGAACTATTCTCCGAGATTTCTTCGATATTTTCATTTTGGGTTTTTGGCATCCCTGGAACCTCATCAATACTAATACCACCGATTTCCTCAAATGGCAAGGCAGGTTATGTTATTCTGAGGTCATGCATATACTTTATCTGCACCTGTCAAGATTCATCCATAGAATTGATGCATCCAAAATCCTTCGATGCAAGTATGACCACTCGCACTTAGCAGTTCGCATATTGCTTTTAACATGTTGGAGGGGACACTTTTCGCCCCCCTCCCCTCCGAGTCGACAATCACGCCACTAGTACCCGGTATAGAATATACTACTACTGCATGTAAGAATGGCAAGTACTGAGATATGTATATCAGTAGCAGGGCAGTATCCGGGACTATCTAGATCAAACCGAGGATACCTTCGGAGTCCCCACTATTATGTACTACTGCTGACGGCGGTGTTTCGGGGAAACTGAGCCGTGAGCGCGGAAAGTAAGTTACAGGAGAGTTGAGGACTCAAGGTAACTCCCGACGTGTCCTGATGCCTGCCAATCCGTGCTTGTGCCCTGGGGGCTAAAGAAAGTTAAACCGTAAAACCCGGCAGTATGGCCGGGGGCCATGTCATCGCATTAGCGTTGCGCTGGTGTGGTTGACATCTAATATGATATGCTAATAACCCTAAATGAGGGGTAAGATAATGGTGCATGGAGTACCTAAGTACTACTAACCTAGGTCCCACCGTCCCAGAGCTTCATGACCAGGTGTACTCGGTAACAGATATCATGTAACAATGGGGTGGCGACTGGAGACACTTGAGTCACAGACCAACACTGGTGTGAAATCCCCACATATGCTTGTCCGGGAGGTTGATGCATAGTGTATGGAGTCGAGTTTCTGACAAGGCAACAACTTCCAATAATATCTACATCGTATGGGAAGCAATCATACAATACTCGCTTACGGTGGGGCAACTGAGCGATACAGTATTTCCCTTGGGCTGTGGTGGATGCTTCGTCAAAGAACCCAGGTTACCAACTAGTTTGATATCTAACTTTTTAAAAATTTTGTTAGTTAGGGCATCCAAGGAGAAAAGATGACTAAGAGTACGTTATCTCCAGTTACGCAGTACAGTTCAGTTGTAGCAGGGGTGTAGTGCCAAGGACTCAAATAAGAAGGTACCAAATCAATACCTGGTCCCACGTGGGGATGTGTATTACAGTACTCCGTACCAGAGACATCTTGATCATGGTAGATCCAGGTATTGGTACTTGATTAAGTTCTTTAGAAGTGGTGGACTTGTTCTCATTGTCTGATCATAATAGCTTTTGTTAGGTTTGGGTTTGTTCATTGTCATGTGAAAGAATGCCGTGACCCGTGAAGTTATAGTGGATATGATCCTGTACCTACTATGTATGTACACACGGAAGATGAGTGGGCTCTGGATCACTGCTTGAAATACAATATGGGACATACCATACAGGTCGTATTATTACAGACAATATCTATCTGAAAAGCAGGGGCCAATGGCGAGAGTACGTGTGTACGGGTAGTTCCTTGTGCCTTGCAGACGATAACCTATCGTAAAATGGACAGGGGGGCCAAATGAGGGGAATGGTTCTTTTGGCTCGAGAACCAGTCCGAGATTAGGTGATCGTAGATAGTATTAGCTGATCCACAGCCGTTTGGGAATCGAAGAGGGGGAGGTGGGATCATTGCTCTCTTCCCGACAAATATGTGGTTTTTTAATATAGATGACGGTGCGGACATGGCCCGGCGAGGAATCTAGATCCGCATGCTTGGGAATGGCGAAGGACCCGAAATGGCTCTGTGCGCGAGTTTGGTACACTGTCCGTGCTCCCCTTCTTAGTATGAGGGGCCCTCCTTTTCCTTTCCCACACTCTCCTCATTTTCTCTAAGTACGGAGTACGGAGTACGTATTTTCAAATTCCCATTTCTTTGGGACATCGATCTCGGCTCCGGGAGGGGAACTCCATATTAATAATAACATTTCATCAATAATAGTAACAGTAATCATAAGACCCAGCAAAATATAAACAACAGCCAATCATTGGCACCCAATGCAACGTAAATGAATGTATTCAGTGTAATCAATGTATTGGGAGATGGTAATTTTCTTTTCTTACCATACTACCAATACATGCTTAAGATATTATCCCTATAGGTCTATTACGCCGATCATGCTCCGTTTCCTCATCGTACTGTAGTACTGACATATATCTTATGCATACTCGGTCCTCCTGGTGAGAAGGTCTCAACGCATGAGGAATCAGGCTAAATTCCATACTCAGGACTAAAGGAGTTCTTACCAGATTCAGTATGCCATGAGTAGCGAAGCGACAGAACACGGTACAGGGAGGGATGTTACTCCATAGTCAATTTAGGTAAATAGTAATAAGAACTTCGGCCCTGCGGGGCAAAAG